CTCCTCTGTGCTTCTCCTCTCTCTATTCGACCTGGTGTTTCTCCTCTCCCTGTGCTCTCTGCATCATTGCCTGTCCTATCACTGCCTGAAAAAATATGTTGAATTAAGAGTTAACCAGTTAAGCAGCCTGTCAATTACACTGACAACATATGTTAAAGGAACACTCATGTACTACCTACGTCATCATAAATAGCCTATACAGCATGTATTTTTTCACATTGAGAACTGACTTGTTTTCTAATCTACACGTCACCAGGCGTTTTTCTTGTCCTTTTACCGTGCACGACCAGCGAACACAGAGCGCGCGACTACTACCCCCCACCCCCCTTCCCCCGTCGGTCGTTCCGCCCGCAACGACTACTACACCCCCCCCCCGTCGGACCTTCTCGACCGGTCCGCGAAATATTGTCTGACATGAAACCGGTCCGTGAGGTAAGAAAGGTTGGGGACCACTGGGCTGATCCACAGCGTGTATGTGCCTCCTGGATCCTGATTGGTGTCGCTGCTGCAGCCGCAAGGCACTGATTGGATGCTCACAGACCGTAAAACAGCGCAGATGAAAATGATTCAGACTACGGCGTTTATATGTTCAACAATAGGAATTTTATTTCGGATTATTCCAACGGAAGAATACAAGGCGCAGGGAACTTTGAGGTGCGTAAACGCTATTTATAGGTGCGTAAACGCTATTTCCAAAATTCTAGAGGTGCGTAAACGGCGTTTACGTGCGTTTACCCTCCACTACAGCCCTGCTTGTCCCAAACCCGTACACTACATTGACTAGTCTGACACCACAACAGCAATGGTTCACTTGCATTGATTTGGCAAACGCGTTCTCTTGCCTGCCGCTACACGAAGACTTACGGGATGTGTTCTCATTCACGTATGGGTTAAAACTTGAAACAAAAATTGGCTAAAATCTGTGCACAGACAAATTTTACCTGGGTTCAAGCCCTCCCATTCGTGTTAATGGTCATTTGAAGCTCAGTAAATCAGGGTACGAACTGACCACCGGGACAGTTCCCTGGACCCAGTGCCGGCCTGAAGCTTAGGCCCAACCCGGAAGCTCCACCAGGTGAGTATGCATGTCGTATAACGATCTACGAGCTCTTGTTTCAGATTTTGCGGACCAGGTGCGAGACAAAACAGGGGATCAGAACGCCCACAACCCCCACCCAGAAGCCTGGGTCCTCCTGAGGGTCATTAATAGAAAGTGGTCAGAGCCGCGGTGGACAGGACCATACCAGGTGGAGAAGAGAACCTTACATGCAGTGAGGCTGAGAGGGAAAGGTGATACCTGGTACCACTGGAGCCAGTGTGCCACTGCAGAGGAACCAGCTCGCACTCTCCAGGACGTCCTGAAGGATCAGGAGCAAGAGGCTGCAACGAGCACCGGAGTGTCCCCAAACGCACTCTCAACGGCCAGTTGACTGACAGACACCCAGAGCATGGTGATCTGTGTTGACTGTCTACAACCAAGAATAAGTGTATAACTATCCTCTCCTCTGTTCTATCTTTCTCAATTCTCTGCATTAGTTTAGCAAAAAAAAAAACAAGAACAAGACACAATCCCATTATTGGCCTGGAAAGGAGGCAAGATGAGGAGGCTGATCCAGCAGACGTTCTCCAACAGCTGGGGTGATCTCTGAAGAGATCAAAAGGGGGAATTGTGAGATGCATGTACTGGTAAAATATATTCTAACATTGTTTTGTGCTACAGCCGTGTCTCAAGTGTCCTGTATTTGACCCTGACGTGCAAAGAGCAGCATGATACAAAATGTTGCTTTGCAGCTGTGTCTTGAGAAGGGAGGGCGGTCAACTCGATCTCATAGACGCTTCAAAACTAAGGACTTCTGTTCATGGCCTTAGTTCATATCTTATTCGGTACGAAAGTTCCGGATCCACGTTTTTACTTTATGTCAGTTAATTATGATTTGCACCGGCCACTGAGGAGGATCTTGTGTGTGTGTGGGCTACCCTCAGCTTCACCTGGGTTCTCATCTCAACCTGCTTTGCAGCTTCTCGTAACTGGCACAGAGAATGTCCTTCACATGTGTATAAAAACTCAGCGTTTTTACTGCTCTGAGACGCCATTACACCGAGCGCTGAGATACGTGCTCGTGTGTTTGACCTCCTGCTTATACGCAATAGTTAGAGCCAGATATCGGCAGAGAATTGTTCATGTAATCTTTTTCTCTTCTTAATAAATGTTAACTTTTTGACTTTAATTGATCAATGTGCTGCGATTCTTCTCATCAACCAACTCGGGGGGATTGGAGATCTTGACAGAACCTATGTAAGGTGCTAGTGGGCCAAGGGAGCTGGCAAGGACCTGGACTTATTTTGGTCTTATTTTAACACACTAAAGTTCAGGCAGAAGAAGGGAAGATGGGGAGAAGAAGTTATGTTACCCTGACATTGTTTTTCTTCTCTTTTGGGATGGTATATGAAATGCTATTTGAGTTTTTCTTATTTACTTGTTTCCCCCGACAGAACAGATTATCCAGCGTCTGGACAGTATATTGTCGGTGCCTGGAACTGTAGCGGAGAAGCAGCTATTTATTACAGAGGTCAGCTATTGAGGATATCAACCAAATCGGGCATTCGTGCAATTATTATGTATACAGCAGGAAAATAATTACATTTATCAATGACTTAAGTAGCTAAGAGATAAAAGTATCAATAGACAATTGATAACACCATTTACAGAATACAACTCAAACTGCAGAGTGACTGAGCATCAATGTGTAGTTGTAAGAAGCCCAACTTAACTGGGTAAATCTGCAATGGCAAGTACAGATAGGGAGAATCTGTAATTCTGGAGAAAACGTCAAGGGTGAGCATGCATATGTGCAACATCACTAAATTTGCTGTGACAATCCTGGCTAACAGCGGTTTTGCACGACAAGTTAATATCACTTTTTGATGGAATGTGGTAGCAGTTCATTCAAAAACATTTTTTTCCTCAGTGAAAGCAAAGTATATTCAATTCAAATATTCAAATCTTTGCAGTACAAAACCAAGACGCAGTTATCTAGATAATTGAGTACATTTATTTCTGCAATAAACAACAAAGGAGAGTATATTTTCTTTCAGCCACCAGCAATATTCTATATTTTTATCAACAGTACTAGGCTTAAAACAAAACTTCTATTTTTGTATGGACTTATGTCCTCAAAGGCAACACTTGATGGCAGATAGCATTTAGCACATTCACAAAACATCAGAACTTGATATATGCGTCGCATGCGTGCATAGCAATAACAATGGACATTAATCTAGTTGATTCTTTAATCAAAATTTAAAACAAATGATTGTCTCAGTGGAAACAATAAAAGTTTATAGCATGAAATAGACAACTGTAAATAAAAATAATTAAATGTAATTTTGCCTTCAACATCCATTGTGAAGGTACTGTCTGTTGCCTGATCACAAGACAATATAGAATAAGGTTAATACTTTAATCCATCAGATTTTGTGCAATCACAGGATTTCTTAACAGTGAACAATCAAGCTCTGGCAATCTTTTTGTCAAAAACTGTAGTCAATATTAATTTAAATAAAAATACTGATAACGCTTTTATATACTGAAATTCAATTTTAAACAAGTATTGATGGCACCCACCCAGCGTTTATAATTAAATTAAATTAATGCTTATATAATTAAATACCTGTGGCTCGAAGCATTTTGGATAAAAAGATTTTGTTTTTTACATCTGTGTGCCATATTTCCTTATGTTTCAAGCATTTTAGCCCCTCAAAAACACCTTTGCCCAAAGCTATATTTAGGTAGATATGTAGGAGTACACAATATATGTCTTCCTATTAACATGCTAAATTGTCACACGTATATATTGTATATATATATATATATACAATATATACGTGTGCATGTTAATAGGAAGACATATATTGTCTACTCCTACATGTCTACCTAAATATAGCTTTGGGCAAAGGTGTTTTTGAGGGGCTAAAATGCTTTATATATATACACATCTCTCTCTCTCTCTCTCTCTCTCTCTCTCTCTCTCTCTCTCTCTCTCTCTCTCTCTCTCTCTCTCTCTCTCTCTCTCTCATATATATATATATATGGCTATCAGCAGAGGATGTACTTCCTGAGGCAGCTGAAAATTCAACCTGACGAAGAGAATGATGGTGCACTTCTACAAGGCTTCTACAATCATTGAGTCATACATCTAGCACGCCACAGCCAAGGGAAGGCTGCAGCGTGTCATCTGCTCTGCAGAGAGGCCGTCCCTCCAAAACTTGTTCGCCTCCAGGACTCTGAAGTGGGCAAGAAAGATTGTAGCCAACCCCTCTCAACAACACAGACTTTTCGAGCCCCCTCCCTCTGGCAGGAAGCTCCGGTCCATCTGGACCAAGACCTCCCGCCATAGAAACAGTTTCTTCCCATCAGCCGTTGGTCTCATGAACCAAGTCCGAGTCCCCCATTGACTACCCCATACCTGGATCGTTTTCACACCATGGAAACATATGAACATACATACGTGTTTTAACGAACTTATTTTTCTGTATCTTATTGTATTCTTGTATATCGCAATAAATGGCTTTTGATTTGGGGGTTCTCGATGAGCCTCAAAACTTATTGATAAACCAACTATGTAGTAAATCCGGTTGTAGTTTATCTCTTTATTCTTAAACATATGTGAAAACGTGAGTTGAGCGTACACTGAAATTTGACCATAGAACACATTATATTTAATACTGCGGTGACCCTTTTTCATACCCACTTTAAAAAACACTTCAACTTTATTTATTTTCTGTATTCAACAACTTTTACTCAAGAACACAATTGCTGGAGAAATGCGAGAGGAGGCGGGGCTCGACATTCTTCTTATACGTCAGACCAAGTGTGGGGGCGCGCGCGCTTCCTGCTCCCTTATTCTTTTTACGTGAAAACATGAGATTCGCAGGGAAAAACGAACACTTCGTGGCTGTGAATATCGTGAACCTCCTCGCAGCAGAGATTCAAACTAGCTGCGACACAAGCCTTGGGGCGGCGGCAGCCAGTTGTATCGCGGTTGAGGGGTTTATCTGCACGAAGAAAAAGGAACAGCGGAATGTGTCCCTAAGATGGAGCAAAAAAGTCAACGGAAGAACTCAACTGAAAGGTCTGTTGCATAATGTCAGGAACTATGATAGATACTATTCACGAAGAATATCATTCTTTTTCTGTAGCGATGCATCTCTAGTCCGCTAGGCTTTTAGAACAAATAACGTTATGGTGTTTCAGAAAATGCTCGTGCTTTTTCAACTTGTTTTACCGATAGGCCTAACGTTATCTAAAGCTCATGGCAGTCACACATGGTTTGAACGTTATACAGCCGTTGGGAGCCATGAAGTGACAACTGAAGCAAGGATTATGTGAAGTTGAAGTGGGTGCACCCGTCACGGCATTCTTGCCTTTGTTACCAGATGGACTGCTTATTTCGAATCAATTTCACATTTTCCAGTGTGGGTGCCATATGGTTATGGGGGTTTCTCACTTAATTTAGGGGAATTAACTTAGTTGTCACTAGTTCTACAAAGTTTGACTGGAATTGGTACTACTGGAGTTGTATACTGCGGTCAAGCCAGCCTCCACTTCGAAAAACACAGTCAGGCCTGCCAACTTAGTTCTCAAGTTATTTTGCGGTACGCGTATATACTAGAGATTACGGTAGTGGCGTGCAAAACCTGACATCAAAATAACAGTGAGATAACGTGTCGGTCAATCAATACGTCTGTAAATCATGTATAAATGTAATAAATTCAGAAACAGTGAAATAGATACTATATGTAGGATATACAGTCTATACATTATAACTTTTAACTATTGGGGGAAAAATGTAATTTAAATTGTGTAATTACTTATTCAAATATATTAATAAACAATACATTTACACAGACCGGAGAATATCAAGACATTCTTATGTAGCATTTTGAACTTACGGCTTTAAAACTGAAAGCCCTTCAAAATGTCACACAAGAGCCAACTTCCATAAAAATATAATTCATGAGCACACATTTTAGGTTACATTTGAAAGGAAACAATCAATAGTTACATAATAATTCAGGTTGATAGTGCACCACTTCAAGGTGTCACTCGGGATAACTGCTAACAATTATATGATTAAGTTCTCTGAGGATACAGCCATCATGGGTTTCATGTATGATACATCAGATACAGCTGTATACAAACACGAGATTCAGAACTTTGTGGTGCGTCAAACACCTCATCCTCAATGTCAAAAAAACAGAGGAGATAGTATTCGACCCCAAATCTATCGCAGACCACTCACCAGTGGTTATCTATAAGCAGAACATAGCACAGGTTGACTCTTACGGATACCTATAATAATAATAATAATAATAATTGGTTTTATATAGCGCTTTTCTAAGTGTCTCAAAGACGTGTTAACATAGTCAAAGGGGGGACGGTGTGAGGCAGACAGGCAGGAGACAAGACACGAGGGGCGACATATATACGGGCCGATCGCATACAACTACATAGACTGAAGGGTAGGGGAAGGGAGGGGGCTACGGGTAAGCAGATGAGAAAAGATGTGTTTTGAGGCGGGACTGGAATGTGGTGATGGAGTCGGAGTCTCTGATGAGAATGGGGAGTGAGTTCCAGAGCTCAGGAGCTGCCCTGGAGAATGCTCTGTCCCCAAAGCTGCGGAGTTTGGATGTGGGGGTGAAAAGTAGTCTGGCTGAGGTGGATCTGAGGGACTGATGAGGTTGGTAGGGGGAAAGGAGTTCAGAGAGATAGGGAGGTGCAAGTTGGTGGAGGGTTTTGTAGGTGAGGGTCAAGATTTTGTAGGAGATCTGGTGGGAGACGGGGAGCCAGTGGAGGTCTTTCAGGACTGTGGTGATATGGTGCCATGATTTGGTGTGGGTGAGTAGTCGTGCAGCTGCATTCTGGACCAGTTGTAATTTATTCATGGAGGTGTTGCTGATGCCGTAGAGGAGTGAGTTGCAATAGTCAAGACGGGAAGAAATGAAAGCGTGGATGAGTTTCTCTGCTGTAGGGGGTGTGAGAGACGGACGGATTTTTGCGATGTTGCGTAGGTGGAAGAAGGATATTTTGACCAGTTGACGGATGTGTGGCTCAAGGGAGAGGGTGGAGTTGAATATTACGCCACGGTTGCGTCCCTGGGGGGAGGGGGGAACAGAGATGCCATCGATGTTGAGTGTGAGGTTGTTGGTTTTGGTGAGGGTAAATTTGGAGCCGATGAGGAGGAGTTGTGTTTTGTCGCTGTTGAGTTTGAGAGAGTTCTGTTGCATCCAGGCTTTAATTGCAGAGAGGCAGGCGTTGATGTGGTAGAGCGGTGGGTTGTGAGGGGTGTTGGTGCTGAGGTAGATCTGAGTGTCGTCAGCATAGCAGTGGAAGTCCAGGTTGAAGTGACGAAGGATCTGACCGAGGGGGAATAAGTAGATTATGAACAGGAGTGGACCTAGTACAGAGCCTTGGGGGACACCTTGTGTAACTGTGGATGTGGCAGAGGAGTTTTTGTGAAGGGAGATGAAGTGAGATCTGTTTGTGAGGTATGACTGGAGCCAGCTGAGTGCAGTACCTTCGATACCGATGGCTTGGAGTCTGGTGAACAGGATAGTGTGACTCACTTTGTCGAAGGCTGCACTTAGGTCCAGGAGGATGAGGATGTTGAGGGCTCCGGTGTCTCCTCTTGGAGGAGTGCAGTTTCTGTGCTGTGTACGGAGCGAAAGCCAGATTGAAGGGGTTCAAACAGTTTATTGGAATGTAGGTGGGATTGAAGCTGGGTGGAGACAAGGCGTTCAAGGGTTTTGGAGAGGAAGGGGATGTTGGAAATAGGGCGGTAGTGATTAAGACATGAGGGGTCAAGGCCAGGTTTCTTGAGTATGGGGGTGACAGCAGCTTTTTTGAAGGCTGAGGGGATGGGACAGTGAGGAGTTAAAGAGGTCGGTGAGGTAGGGGCATAGCACAGGGAGGCAGGACTTCAGCAGGGTGGTGGGGAGGGGGTCCAGGGAGCAGGTGGTGGGCTTGGATGTGCTGATGAGTTTGGCAATGGGTTGCCGAGTCAACAGGGTCGAACCGGGAGAGCGGTGTAGGGGAGGAGGGGACAAGGGGTCCAGCAGGATGGAGAAAAAGGGGCTTCGTGTGGTTGCTGCTGGGTCAGACACAGGGAGCAGTGAATGATTGATCGTGGTGATTTTGTCCTTTACCTGGGCCTACTCATCAACAACAAACGGACATGGGAGTGTTCACGTAGAGAATGTCTGCTCTAGGGTCCAACAGTGGCTACACTTTCTTCGTAGGCACAATGATCCCTGAAAAAAAATGGGAGTAAAACAGCATCCCTAACTGCACGCTGCAGCAGACCCCACCTATGTCCTCCTTCTTGAATACCAGCTGAGGCAGACGCTTCAAAGACCCCCAGTGCAGGTTCAACTGTTTAAAGAACTCCTTTGTTCCCCTGTCAATTTAAGACCTAAATGGCAAGCTAGCCAACTTTTTTTTATCTTACACTAAAGATGTGTTCTATGACCGATAGTGTAAAATGTATCTGCTTGCTGGCGATGTTATTGTCTGTATGTTTCCAAGACAAATTTCCTTCAGGACAATAACAATCGATATCTATCAATTATGATGTAGCATTTCAAAATGAAAGCCCTTCAAAATCTCATACTTAAGACAACTTCTGTTCAATTTAAATTGCATTTAAAAGGAAATAGTCCATAGTTACATAATCATTGATAGTCCACCACCTCGTCACGAGTTGTCTTTACCACAGCCTTCATAGCACTTTCATGTCACATGCTGTTGGTTATGGTCTACATGGGTTATAATAGAAAGTTTTAGTTTTTCTCCTTTCTGAATATGTTGTTTTTGTGGCAGGCCCTTGATTTTAAAATATGCTTTATGGGAATCTGAGTTTCCAATACCCAGCACATGACTTGGTAATTACTTTTTTTGTCTTTAGTCTCTTCAGTTGAAAGATATTTAACCAATTGCTGACATCTCTTTAAAGCTAACATGTTTCCTTTTGTATATTTATTCACAGGTGTTTCGGAAAACTTCATCCTTGAAAATGAGAAGAATGCTAAATGAGAAAGGTGCCAAATGTAATAATTTCTGCCTTTTAATATACAGAAAAAGGTGTAAAACAATGTAGTTGTTAATATTCAATATTGTCAGAAACCTCAATTATGTCAATGCAGCCCCTTCCTCTTGAAATAAAACAAAAATAAGCCCAAATAGACTAAATGTATGTGTATAGCCATTTTTTCCACTTGCTTCTTAAGATTAAGCAGAATATGCTATGTTTTGATGAAATTACATTTTCTTGTTGTTCTGGGTTTGTATCCTTATAGTTGAAATGTCCTTATTGAAAGTTGCTTTGGATAAAAGCGTCAGCTAAATGACATGTAATTTCCTTTCCTTGAATCTTGTGTCACCCAAAGATATTTTCTTCACATACAATTGTTTTTACTCTTGCTTTTAAAGAACCAACATTTTTTATACTGTAAGCATCATTTTTTTGTGAATAAATCACAGTAGTTTTAGTCGTAGCTAACATAATTTGTGCTAGTTTGAGTTGCTGCACTAGGACCTATTCTTTTCAGTTTCACAAAACCAAGTAAACAATAATTAGGTATAATGTAAATGTCTTAAGATCAAATTCCTTTCTGTCTTTTCCATCTCTCTTTAGCATAGTTTAATTTTCTTTCACATTCTCTTACTAATTGTCATCCTTTTGTCACACTGCATTCCTTTCCTCTTTCTCTCTATTTCCACTTTGTTCTCCTTTCAGGGAGTATCGACCGTGGCCGGAGCTTGTCCTTCAATGAGGTGCGTGGACAGCATCAGGCAGAGATGCGGGCCACCGGCGAAGAGTCGTCCAACAACACTGTAGGAGGTTGTGGCAGCACCGTTCTGCAGCGCCTCCTGCAGGAGCAGATGAACTGTAATTACGTGCTACAACAACAGAAACAACAACCAGGAGGAGCAGGGGCCGGAGCAGGTTACGCCGATGATCACTCTATGATCCCTCACATTGCCCGTCAGGAGCCCCAAGGACAGGAGCTGCAGACGGACAACTGCATAGAGAAACTGGGCTCAACCAAAATAAGAGAGGGTGGGAGCAGTGTAGGAGGAGGAGGTTTAGTAACTGTGTGTGGAGGAGCACGAGGTGGCAGCAATGGAGGTGGTGCAAGCGCCCAAGGGAAGTGCCCAAACCTGGAGGACCTCCCAACGTACGAAGAGGCCAAAGTGCAGTCACAATACTTCCGTGGGCATTGTCCTCCTCCTCAGCCACAGAACAATCAGCCACAGCAGCCCCACCCCCCCCCTTCAGCAGGCACTGCCTTCTACGCCACAGGGCTTAGCGGTGCCAAGGTGCGCACCGAGGGTCGTCCGATGGTGCAGCGAGTCAGTGGAACAGGAAGGGTGCACCAGGATGATGCGCTGAAGGATCTGAAGCAAGGCCATGTTCGGTCTCTCAGTGAAAGACTGATGCAACTTTCCTTGGCCACCAGTGGGGTTAAGGCCCACGCTCCTGTCACCAGCGGCCTGCTCTCCCCACAGATGCCCCGGCAAGGGCCGCCAGGCGACCACTACAAGCCGCAACACAGGGGTCCACCTCCTGACTACCCCAACAAAGAAGTAGGCTCTCCTACCAAGCAACAGGAGCCTGGAGGTCAATTTTACCAGGAGCAGAAAGGGAGGGAGCACTCAAGGGAGGTGCACCACGTCAGATACCAGCCCCCGCCCGAGTACGGTTCGTTGAGGTAAGGATAATAAATACAGATACTCTGCCCTTCATCTACACACAAATATATGCATTTAAAGATGCTTGAAAATACATATTTGTAAAATGCTAAATATAATTTCTTAGTGAATTAAATATATGCATGTAAATAGAAAGATGTCACTTTTCAAACCAAAAGAATGATACAGCTCTATTTATTTAATTTGTCGTAGAGAAATCTTTCCATTAGTATTTAAATATTACTTGGCAGCATATACTGTATGTGAGGTTTTTATTCAGACTGCTTCATGTGACCTTAATTCACCCATCTATAAAGACAAACACACACCATATGGGCCAACTATGTCATCATTTGTCGACTTGTTTTACCTTCTGAGTCACGGGCCCAAACCTTTGCATACAAAGGTGTCCTGTCCCCTTGTGACAGGGGACAGGACACGACATGTAATAATGTTACATGTCGTTTAGCTGATGATTTTATCCAAAGCGACTTACAATAAGTGCATTTAACACATCCCGCAAATCAAGTTAGACCAGATCTGGGCAAACCTTTTGACCCGTGGGCCACAATGGGTTTGGGAGGGGGGCCGGGCCAGGATGGATGTAATGTTTGTGTGAACTAATATAAATGACATGTAGAAGCCATTACATAAAAGGTTTTGGCCTTTAATAGGTAGTAAAGCATGGATATGCAAGGCTTGTTGTCTAAATTATACAGAATGAACAAAAGTGCATTTTTAAGAATAACAAGTAACCAAAAAGAGTGACTAAAATTGAGTTTACAGTCATAAAAAGGCTGCTCTGTTAACCATCACAATCAAACAATGAACAAAGGCCCATAAAAGAAAAAGAAAAAGCTTCCCAACTGCATGATGTCATTAAATACAGGTATATTAGGTGTTAAATTTGGCGATCCATCCGTGGTGACATTGGCAAGTTTACTTCAAGGTAACGTCATTCTTTCGATGACAGCAGACACCTGGTCATATAAGTCCTCTCCCCACGTTTGTCCTTGCAGGGACTCAAAAACTCCTCCGTTATCTCAAAACTAGGAGCTGAGCAGTGTCTTTTATGTTGTTACTTTCATCCAGTGCTAGTGAATATAACTTAAAGGACTCCACCTTTTTGTTTAACTCGCTGGCTATATCTTCATCAATCAGTTCCACACGGCGAGTCACTGTCCTGCGTAATAAACTGTTTTTTTAAACTTGTCTTTGCTCTCCGGACACAAGAGATCTGCTGTCTCTACTATGCCCTCTTTCAAAAGCCCGTTCTTGCGTTGACTGATTGCTAGCGTAGTTAGGATGCTTCGTAGCAAAGTGACGGCTGAGATTGTATTCTTTGAAAACCACAACTGTTTCTTGGCATATCAGACATACAGCTGTTGATCAGACTGTAGTGAAAAAATATTTTGTTGTCCACTCCTTCTTAAACACTCGGCACTCACTGTCCACTTTTCTTTTCTTTGGTCCACTCATTTTCAGGGTTCAAAGGGCAAAGCAAAAAAGTGTGTTAATACACCCAACAAAGGCCGATGTGTGTGGAGTGCGCCATCTACTGGGGAAATGCGGGCATAGCAGGGAAAATGCAAAATGAATGAGGTTTAATAATAATATAATTTGGACAAGTGCGGCGGCCGGATTAAAAGGCCTAACGGGTCGTAGTTTGCCCCTGCCTGAGTTAGATTAGTTAGTGTTTTATACTTGTCCATTTCAAATGTTTTGAATGTAGCTGTGAATAGAATTCCCTGTTTGTGCAGTTGGCTGTTACAATAAGTTTTGAGTGATCAAAACATTTAGCTCCATGTGGAAGAAATAAGTATATGCAAAGAAGTGAGCCCAGTAAAAAGTTAAATATGCATTTAACAATCACGTTTCAGCCAAATAGTTTACATTACAGCTTAGCTCTCCTGTCTACCATTGAAAACACTGAGGGCAAGCACAATTACGTCACAGAGTTGCATAGTCTGTAGACTTTAGAATTCTCCCGTTTTAAACTTACTAAATAAAAACCCCCACTGTATATTAAGGTATGCAGATGTATTGATGTGGTATTCATCTTAATTATTGTATTTACTGCTTGGTAGTCACTATCATAATAGTCACGATGAAAACCATTTGTTACCTATGATACTAATAATGTAGTATGTCTGTTTACAAAAATGATTGAAAAACACATTGTGAGCTTTAGACAGGTAGCAAATACAAAGGGTAGAGGAGTGTTTTGCACTTGATTTAAACACTTTCAGCGTTTATTATCAGATGTTTTAGGGGCATTTAACCCTTTTTCTGTTTCATTGGATTTTTACCTGGATCACATCTTAATGATGGACAGACTTACAGTGCCTTGCACGTCACACTTTAATTGAAATAGATTTTTGATCAGGTGAACTCTTCCTCCACTGTTGGCTCACGTGCCTCCGTTCTGAATAAATCGAATCCTCGTCGGCCCACAACTGCATGATGGTATATGCTGGACCGCAAAGTATAGATCATGTGTCCTCCAAATCGACGCTTGGAGGGCTCCGTCCCTCGACTGTGTTCGGAGGAGACGACAGAATGGAACAGCCGAGTTGCACCCGGGTTGCCTGGCGGAATTGGGACACTGCGTGTTTGTGGAGACGCTGCTTAAGCCCTGCCTCCGCTTTGACAAAGAAAGCAAACAAGAGGACAGAGGCAGCACTATCAACTAAACTTTTGGTGACATTCATTTATATATTGTGCAATAAGTCAATATATTGATAATCATGTTAATGAATAGCACTGGGCCATTTTAAAACATTTACATGCTTTGATCTAAACCAATACATTGTAGCTCTGTCTGTATGTTCAGGGTCATTGTCCTGCTGGAACCTGAACCTCGGCCCCAGTCTTAAATTCTTTTGCAGACTGCATCACATTTCCTTCAAGGATTTCCCTGTATTTGGCTCCATCCTTCTTTCCCTCAACTCCGACTAGTTTCCCTGTACCTGCTGAAGAAAAGCATCCCCACAGCATGATGCTAACACCATATTCCACTGTTGGGATGGTGTGCTCAGGGCAATGGACTGTGTTGGTCTTCTACCACACATATCGTTTTGCATTGATCCAAAAAGTTAAATTTTGGTCTCATCTGACCATGTGTCTCCCACATGACTTGTGGCAAACTCCAAACAGGAGTTCTTAAGGCTTTCTTCTTGCCACTCTTGCATAAATGCAAGCACAGGAATTTGTCCTGTGGACAGATTCTCCCACCTCAGCTGTGGATATTTACAGCTCCTCTAGAGTCACTAGCGGCCTCTGGGTTGCGTCGGTCATTCATTTTCTCCTTCTCTGGATTGTCAATTTGGGTGGACGGCCTTCTCTTGGTAGGTTTGCGGTAGTGTTATATTCTTTCCATTTTTTCATGATAGATTTTATGGTGCTCCATGAAAGCTTGGGATATTTTTTTTACATAACCCTGCTTCATACTTAACTAAAACTGTATCCCTGAGCTGTTTGGTGAGCTCCTTGATGCTTTTTATTCAGTAATGGTCTCTAAACAAACTCTGAAGCCTTACAGAACACACTGTAAAAAAAACCTCAGGAAAACGTAAAATATCAAGGCAACTTGATGCATTCATTTTTCAAGTTTCAAGTTTTCTCAACTTTTGCCTACAGTAGTTGACTAAGATTAGTTAGTAGACTAATTAAGATTTCCAAATTTAGACAAAAGTTCTGCCAACTTAAATTATATTGTTCACCTAATTAGGACATTCTTGTGAGGCTAACAAAAACATTCTCGTTTCAGTGCCATATATTTTTACCTTTGAAAAACACAGATATACGTGTTGAATACAATTTACAATTCTCGTTTCAGTGAGATAGAACTTTTTCATTACAAATTAATACTATTTTATGTTTAATTCTATATTCGAGTTCCGCCAACTTCAATTTTCTTATTTCACAGAATTATGATATTCTTGTGAGGCTAATAAAATGATGGTTTTAATGCCATGTATTTCTACCTTTAACAAACACAGATATATTGGTTGAATAAACATATAATTTCTCCTTGATAACTTAATTAAAATGTATGTTGCTGAATTTGTATTAAAAGGAATTCTCAACAAATATAATAAAAAGGCACACGGCTCAAAGTTAGCTAAAACCTTGTTTATTTAGCTCTGGTAAACAGGTTTTGAACAATAGGTAAAAGTTAACAATAATGAGGTCAGTCTGGCGTTGCGTACACAGATTTAAACAGATGTGTCACATTACAACACTACCACATATTCAAGTGGCTGTACTCTACAAGTGTATGTTTTCCATGAGCTCTAACAACAATGAACAAGCTCAGTTAAAAGTTAGATACACAATATGTTAGCACCTCTTGTGAACTGGCAACAGACACTTATCTTGTGAAAGTGTTATACAGCAAGAAAACTAAACTTGCTGTGGTAGTAAGCAGCATCTGCAACTGACTGCAATTCAGAATTCCACGCATTTTCATTTTACAGGCAACCAGGACTTGCAGACTTAAAATGTATGCATGTGCGAGCATGTACATTCCCTTAACTTCTACCTGAGTAATAACAATAAACTTTAATAGTTAAAACACTGAATACATGTCCCTATTTTGAACTAGCAACTTACATTTCCACAAGTTCTGTGAATCTCAAAGTTGACTTACATGCTAAAACTAGAAAAAACTAACAATGCACTAATTCAAGAGAAAAAAAGCTTCATGTCTTGCCTGGCTTCCCCATTAATGTTTAGAGCAAAAGCTTTGTTTTCAGAGAACGTATCCGCTGCGAGCATCGAGAGCCAAGCTCGAAAAAGATGGTCTGAATTGCTTCAAAGGTATACCTCATCTCCTTCGGATAATCAATGTTCATGGCATACAGTAGGCCAAAGAGGTATGCACGGGCAGTAGAGAGGTCTGGTAGGTCATGAAGCACAATGGTCCCTTCCAACACTGCAGCTACATCTCGCACCTTTGATGATGAGGCAGCGTCATCGTCTTCAATGACAGTGAGGATGGCAACAGACACATATGTGAGCAGTCCTTCTTTATCCTCAGTTGTCTGAGGAAAAGCAACACATGCATTGATTAAGAGCTAATGAAAATTTAAAGACAAAACTCATTTCATTTTAACTTTAAATGTAGTATTATTCTCAAGAACATTATATTTGTGGTGAGATTTTAAATTGACACGTGTAGAGTCAAATCTTTTAAGCTTGATTTTGGAGCGTTCGTCGCAGATGATGTTCAAGGACTGTGGGAATGATGAAAATCCAACAATTATGTTTTTTAATAGATTCATGCTAGGATAAACAGTGTAGTTTTGGCGATGGTTTAAATAGAACTTAATTTAACACTGTGCAAAAAACATTAAACGAGAATAAATGAGGACAGCCTTACTTCCTCAATGGAAAACAGAGCAGGCCATCTCTCCTGGACTTCTGAAACCATAGGCGTCGCCTCTACTACCTCTTTTCGTCTAAGGGAAAATGTTAATGCTCACCACGTGTGGGTCTTTTCAGGGTGAAAGAAGTGTCATCTTCAACTCCCCCTTTTCTTTTTCTGTTGACATTCACCTCATTGCAGCCCGCCTGACGAAGCTTTGACCTGCAGTTTCCGAGCTTGTACTGGTTTTTATCATAGCCATCATAGCCCTTACTGCTATCTGGCTTCTTCAGGTATGGATACTTGAGAACCAATGAAGAGGCAATTGATTCAAGTTCCTCTTTCTCGGGGTAGCTTTTAAATTCAATAATTGCTGGTGCAAGTTTATCCAAAATATCCATTTTCATGTCTCTAGTCACATCAATGCCTTTCTTTGACTTTTCATATGACTTTTTCATTCTCCTTTCGCAATTTAAGTTCAACGTCATATGAGAATTTAGGAATGGGGAATGGAGTGGACCACCCTGCAACATGCCTTAAATTGCTTCTGATGGAATCGGAATAGCTGGACCGGAGATTTTCAGAGTGGACACTTATAAAGAGAGGAGACTGAACAAATGGAACTGTTGCTGGATTGGTGAGGGGTTGATGAATCACAGTTCCACATAATATGCAGGACTGCACGCTCAGCAGGTAATTCAGACATTGCTGTCAACTTACAAAGTGCATTTCCAAAATCTGGATACTCAAACTGTAGGTAAAAATCCCCATCAAGTTCAAGTTTCTCTTTAAGTTCATCGATCAGTTCAGCCCCAGATCCTGGCACTTAGAAAGCTGGACTCGCCGGGCTTCTCTGGAGGACAAAACTACACGAAGTAACAATGTCTGAAAAGAACAGGAGAAAATAGTCACACCTGTTTTAGGAGACATCCAACATCTTGAAGAGATTGCAGTGTTGCAACGCAATTGCATTGCATTGTTTTTAATTTTATAAAAATAAATCATGTAATTGTTGCAGTACCACTATAATGTTTTCAAATTTTATAGAAATGTTAAAATTAAACATAATTATCTTTTAGTCTTAACAGCTGACACAAGACAACTTACCATTTTGAGTTGCCTAAATGGAGAATGAATGTCCTTGTGGTCACCATCAACTTTCCACCTACTGTGTATGCTGCGAGAGGGTGGTATTCCGTCAGCAGATCCAGAATGACAATTTCTGAACAGTGGCCTTCAACAAGCTCATAAGACCTGAAATGTTAAATGTACCAGGAAGACACTCTTTTACAAATGAATGCCACTTCCTCGGTGTTGACAAGAATAGTCACAATCTTATGGAATTCTGGGCGATAAAATCATTCCCTCCGCATACTGAGTTCCATGCAGGTGAATCGTTTTAGACAGAGACACATGGTGTCAAGGTGTGGGTACTTCTACTTCACACTTTAGTCATTTGTTGGTGTTTGGTGGAAAGAGTGAGCAGCGGATTTTTCCAGTTATGAGTGTCATGGACCACCTTTTTAAAGAAGCTATGCTTAGCCTCGAATCTCATTGTCCATAATTCCACTAAAGGTCCATAGCAGCGAATAAGATGTCAGGGATGTGTGGGGAAGGCAGGACTCAAGATGCAGACTTAACCAAAAAGACTTTAATGGTCAAAAAAGGCAACAACGCAAAAGGCCAACGGGCAAAAACACACATAGGAACCGGGGGGAAAAAAGGCAGGCAGGAACGAGAAACATCCAGGACGTTAGACAATGACGCGACAAGTGGCTCGGGGACACGGCACACCTCCGGAGTAGTCGGCGGCGGCTCGGGGACACGGAACACCTCCGGAGTGGTTGGCGGTGGCGACTGGGGGACACGGAACACCTCCGCAGTAGTCGGCGGCGGCTCGGGGACACGGAACACCTCCGCAGTCGGCGGCGGCTCGGGGACACGGAACACCTCCGGAGTAGTCGGTGGCGGCTCGGGGACATGGAACACCTCCGGAGTAGTCGGTGGCTCGGGGACACGGAACACCTCCGGAGTGGTCGGTGGCGGCGGTTGGGGGACACGGAACACCGCCACGGTCGGCGGCGGCGGCTGGGGGACAAGGACGGCCCTCAAATCACCAACGGAAGGGTGGGAGAGGACCACGGGATGGGAGGGGGGGAGCCTGAGTCTCAGAGCGGGGACTGGGGGCGTCGGGGTCATGAGTTTCGGAGCGGGGACTGGAGGCGTCGGGGTCATGAGTATCGGAGTGGGGACTGGAGGCGTAGGGGCCTGGAGTCTCAGGGCCAGTACTGGCCGAGCCGGGGTCGGGGCCTGGAGTCTCGGGGCCGGTATTGGCCAAGTCGGGGTCGGGGCCTGGAGTCTCGGGTGCCGGTACTGGCCGAGTCGGGTCGGGGCCTGGAGTCTCGGGGCCGGTACTGGCCGAGTCGGGGTCTGGAGTTTCGACGGCGGTACCGGCGGAGGAGCGAGTCGGGGAACGGCAAATCGCTGCGGCGGCCCAGCGGGAACGGGAGATCGCTGCGGCGGCCCAGCGGGAACGGGAGAGCGCTGCGGCGGCCCAGCCGGAACGGGAGAGCGCTGCGGCCCAGCGTGGAGGGAGTAGGTGGCCTGGAGTTGGGCCGCCAGTTCAAGCACCCGCTCACAGCGTGACCCGGGAACTGGAGACCAGGAGATGGCCTCCACCTCCGGAGGAAAAGTGGTGACCAGAGGGCGGCGGCAATGGCGACCCGAACGCCTTCTGGGGACTCTAGCAGAGCCCACTGCGTCTGCCAGGAAGCCAACTGGCGATCGAGGGCAGGCGTTCTCTCTGACACTGGCAGCCAGCTGAAGGCCACGTGGCCCGCCAAGAGCAAGACGGATACCCCAGAACTGGCTCTGGGGAAAGAACTCTGCGGAGTCCTTGAATGGTCGCGTCATTCTGTCAGGGATGTGTGGGGAAGGCAGGACTCAAGATGCAGACTTAACCAAAAAGACTTTAATAGTCAAAAAAGGCAACAACGCCAAAGGCCAACGGGCAAAAACACACATAGGAACCGGGGGGAAAAAAGGCAGGCAGGAACGAGGAACATCCAGGACGTTAGACAATGACGCGACAAGTGACACAAGAGACACACGGCTTAAATACACTAGGGAGGTACAAGTGATTGGACACCGGTGGAAACAATCACACAATTACAGGGGATGACAGGACCAGGCAGGAAGTGAAGTTACCCAGGGAGACAAGAAGCAGAAAACTACAAAATAAGACTGAGAATAAAACCACACCGTGACATAAGATGTGGGTAGTGGTCCATGAAGTGGTGTTTTGGCCTTAGTCTGAAATCCGGAAAGGTATTTGTGAGCAACTTCCGATGGTCCAGTAGTTTACAAGATAAATAAGACAATGTTTCTTCCAACAGTCTGTTTGACACAACAATCTCAACTATTTCCTTCAAGTCCATTAAAATCTCCCATGCAGGCTCCTGTGCTGGTATTTTACATCCAATTATGAAAGGGAGTAAGCGCAGCAGTGTCCATGTCCATTTTCATGTCCATTTCCGCCAACAGTTCCTTTTCCAAAGCTTGCTTTTGGAATTTTGTGTGGTTTGTTTACTTTGTCTGAATACTTTTTGATTTTATACTTTTATTGAGTGCATCAAATGTAATGAAACCTTTTGAGATCAGATCACAAGAACAATTCTACAGGGACAACTCCTTTAAAAAGGTCATGCAAAATATCTGGGGGAAAACCAGTTATTGGATGAAAGAACAGTGGATGTTTGCTCACTACACACTTCCTTTTTTTACCCCATATGTGCTTTGTAGGTTTTAATCCTGTCTAAGCTCTTGCAGAAAAGTGTTGTGTTGATCAACCCTCCTTAATTCAAAATCATTAACTTCAGTGTTTGCAATTTGGCCCCGACTTATCAAACAAAACCGGCAGAACTTGTCTACAGTAAAACTTTCAAAAAAGCCTGCAAGACCATGTGCTCCAAGGTTATCTGCACACACCTTTGCAAACTGACCTAAAACGTCAAATTCCCTCTTATTCTAGACATCTTATATCTTTAATCAGCGGTTCAGAAACTTTTCATAACCGTATTGCTTGCCCACTCCAGACTCAGAAGTGACGTACATGACAGCAAGGCGCATGTGTTAAAAAGTTTTCATTAAAAAAAATGAGGCTTTATCTACCTAGCTTTTTTTGAAAGATGCTTTATAGAATATGATTTTTATTATTAAAAATATGGGACAACTTGTGTCAAACGGCATACACCAAACTCCAAAAAACCTCCGCTAACTGTTTTCTCAAATTTGAATGAATCGATCCTATTTGAGCTTTTGTGAGCTAATTACATTAACACAAGGCACCGGCTAATGTTTAGAAGAGTGTAAACACACATCTGATCTTTCCTCAGGTCCAGTAAAGGGAGTTCTATTTTCATCCAGAGGCCTCTTCATCAGCACAGTCCCACCTCCTCTGTCACCTCTGTGGGCTCCTTGTCCCGCACCCAGTCCTCCACCCTAAGCAGCATGCACAGCGCATCCCACTCCTCCCATTTCTCTCTCCCTAACCAACACCCTCACAGCCAGGGAGAGCCCTTCCCTAGTATGGGGCTCAATAGTCCGCAGAGTCCCAGCTCCCACCTAGCAGGCAAGCCCGTCAACATAGGGCCCCTTCAGCAGACACATCCAAGAACTCTCGGTTTACCTCATGACCCCTACGGCTCCACACCCAGGATGCAACATCAGTATCATCAATATCAACAACAGCAGCAGCAGTTCCAAAGACCTCCCCCTCCTCAGCCCCAGACCCCAGTCCAGGCTGGACATTTCCCTCACCCATACTCCTACTACCCCCTTCAAGGGAAGCCGTTCAGCATGATGGTGCACTCCCACCAGATGGTGGATGTGCTAAATGAGGAGAACAGAATGCTAAGGCAAGAGATGGAGGCCTGCCACGAGAAAGTCACAAAGTTGCACAAAGTAAGCTTTAAATTATTTGTTTAAATATATCATATAAAATTTCCATAGTGACTACAAAAAGTAAAGCGCTTAATGCAGTTTAAATATATATTTGATGGGGAAGTGCTATTTGTATAACAATTAATTCAATGGTTAAAAGTATGATCATTTAGAATATGTGTCAATATTGTGTTAAACAAAGGAACAGCTAAATGAATGTCATGTTAAGCAAAAAACGAGGCTTAGGGGACCAGAGTGAACCCCTTTTGGGACAAACACATTCTTTTGTGCTACAATATAATTCTTCTTTCTACTTTGGATTATCCGTTTATAACAAACATCCAGACATGGCAGGGTAAATAGTAAAGACATTGCTTTTGGTCAAGGTCAGGTTGTAAAAAGAGTTTAGGTGAGGCCAGTTTTGACCAGTCAATAGTTGAATGGGAATATGGATATTACAGACTATAAATATATTATATAAGTTGTATTCCTCTCAGTGTCTTTATTCTGTGTCTGTTGGCAGTTGGAAACAGAGATCCAGCTTGTGTCAGAGGCATATGAAAATCTTGCCAAGTCTTCATCCAAGAGGGAAGCACTGGAGAAAACCATGCGGAATAAACTGGAGCTGGAGTTGCGACGGCTGCACGACTTCAACAGAGACCTCCGAGGTGAGAGAGCAAGCACATCTTCACTCGTCACCACTAAGAAGCTTATTGGAAAGTTTGTCGGCCCATTGCAGTGACATATTATTTAAAATACCATTGTCCTTTGTGTAAATGCATAAGAGATATTTTATTGGCTTGGAAAAATAATTGTTTAGATTAAAGTTTTATTTGTTTATTAACACTATTTTGTAAAACTGACAATTTCTTGTCATAGCACAAGCATCATTATAAACATATCATGAACATTCATAACAATCAAGAGAGTAAAGATGATTTGCTGGAATGGAGGCAAAACCTGTGTTTTTCTCATATATACTAGATTGTCTTATAGGCTATTTTATCATCGGTTTGAGTTATGCATAGGTATGAGAGTATTTCCTATGAATAGTCAAGATTGTGAACTAAGATTAAAGAGGGTCTCACCTGCCCTCTTCTTGCTATTATTACCAGAGAACAATGATTGGTAGATCAGATTATACAGTTGTCTATTTTTAATAGTTACCCTACCGCAGACGTGTGTCATTAAAAATGTAGGCAAAAATGTCAGGCAGAGGCACTCAAACAGTGGCGACTACTGGGGAAGAAGACGAAACAGACTGACAACCAAAGCCTGCAGGTCCAGGGTTGAAATACCGCAAGTGATGAGTACTCATTAGTCGCAGCTGTGCACCGCTCAGAATGTGGCAATGGCCGGCGTCTGGAGGTGGGACCAAGAACACACCTACAAAAAGCACATGGCTAAACAAAACGAACAGGGAGATGACAGACTCATGAGGGACGAAAACACTGGCAACGGGTCAGACAGGGATCCTGACAAACATTAGTGCAGGTGCATGTACTGACGTGCATGGACAAACTGAGTTAACATAAGATCTTTAACACTATAACATGTCAGCCTGTGTAAAAAAAAAAGATTGACACAGAGTGTAGCGTTTTTAACAAAACATGGATCAAAGTATTTCTTCACTGAAGTCAAAGGTTACGCCATGTGCTCGGTTTGCGGAGAAGAAGTCGCAGTGTTTAAGGATTACAATTTGAATTGCCGTTACGAGAGGAAACACGCGGAGACATAAGACAGTTTTACCAAGCTTCACAAATCCAGGGATGCAGCAGCAAAGACCAGCTTTGTGATAGCCCACAAAGTTGCAAAAAAAATTAAGCCATTCTCTGATGGGGAGTTAATCAAAGAGTGTTTTGTGTACTCGGTTGCAGTACCATACCTCAAGAAAAAAGACGCATTAGAGAACGGAAAATTTGAAGCTAAAAAAAAAAAGGCTGATAATTTTGCATTCTTCTCATTGGCTTTGGACGAGAGCTGCGATATATATAAATATATATATCTATATGCATCTATATACATATACATGTGTTACAAGCAATGGTTGTCCAAATTTAACTGTGAAATTTTTTGTATTTTAACCTTTTTAGCGCTACGTGTTATTTAGGCCGCTGTTCGAAATGGCCTTTACACACATTTTTGTGGTGGCCACCTTGGGGCTTGTCTCCACATTCCCATGGGCTACTCCTTGTGTGCCATTGGTTCAATGTCTTTCGACTGGACACCTTCAAGGTACATAAAAACCTACAAGTGCTTGTCTGCTATAGCTTTACTAGTGTCATCTATTGTGTTTACAGTGGGGTCCTTTATCTGATTACATTTCGTGCAAGCATAAATCACTTCTAAACATTTAGGCTAAATATGTTTTTTCTACGTTACCCATACATAATATCATAAAGCTGAGTATGTTGTTTCCAACTTTATAAACATGGTGTTTCACATATAGGTATTTTGGTGAGCAAACAAACATTATCACAATCTGCAGGCTGAAGGGAACAAGTCCCCCACTTTTCATGGAACCAGACCCTAAAAGGCAAGGGCATGCTGTGGAAGAGACACAGACATCCATTAGCATTTAGCATTAAAACGGGAAATTGTGCGTTCTTCAATTTGTGATTAAAAAGTGGTCATTTGATTTGAGTGCTTGTTGTTCATTTTCCCCTAGCTCTGGGAAGGGTTAAAGCTGATGCAAGATAAATTGACCGACATAAACCAAGAACAGGAATTGGTATGTTTGCATACAGAATATGTTGTGTAAGTCACTGCTTTAACCATGTTATTGATGTTGTGATTAAAATATTTAACTTCATCAAGACAAGGGCATTGAACCACAGACAGTTTGTTGCACTCCTGGGAGGAGCATGAGACTGAACCCAGTGAGAACAACCGTTGGGTGGCTGGGCAAAGTGCTTTAAAGAGAATGGGAGTGAGAGTAGAGAGTAGAGATTTTGAGTTTTGTGAGAGGAAAGGAAAAGGCGAGTCCGAGCTCTCAAACGTAAAACTGGATTATAGATTTTGCATTTGCTATTCATGGAATTAACTAAATACCAAACTACAAGTAGGGATCAGTATCGTTTAGGCTTTACTGACCACTGACCGGTGCCTGAACCGAAAAAAGCACAAAACGATTGACTACAAAAAAGAAACACATTTTTTTTTCTTCAAATTAAATAATATATTAAGCACAAAACAACGATTGACTACAAAAAAGAAAGAAAAAAAAATCTTAACACCATACACACACAATACTGTAAATATAAATAAATACAAAAACAAATGGCTTCAAACTACAGCTTTGAACTTTTTAACTTCAAACTATGAACAATATATAACTGTATAACTGTTTAAAGATCCAGAAGTGTAATATATACATTGGAATTTGGAGAATATTAATCATTTCATTTTAGATTTATGCTCACTGTGCAGAAACTAAATATGTAACATATTGAAAAGCATTTACATTCGGTTGACGCTCCTTGTTAGCTTGTCCAGGGTTCTTGCACCATTTCAAAAGTAAAATTGAATGCTTTTTAAGACCTTTTTAAGACCTCAACAAATATAATTTAAGACCCAAAAATGTCACAATTTCTTTGGAATACGCAATTTATTGCCTCCTACAATGGAAATCAAAACTTTTTTTCAAATTAGGAGACAGTATAATAACTGACAATAACCCTTCCAACACTGTTTGGCCAATATAGATGTAAACAATCAAAGTGATTCCTTTGTGATGCAGAACAGAGCCAACATAACATACGTAAATTTGGATTACACTAAACAACACAATGCATTGCGAATCGGGGAACATGGCAGCAAAGACGCCACGTATGTCAGCATTAGATTTAAATGAATTGTGCCTCGTTACAGTATGGAGAACCCACAGTACCTCTGCCTTTTGGGTGTCTGGTGTTGAAATGAAATTTGTTACAGCCGACTGAGAGGTGGCGTCTGAACTTGTGACGCCGTTAGGTCTTGCTGCAAACAATGCAGAGATTAACCTGGCCCCGCTATGGCTAGCTGCTGCAACGTATCGCTGGCGCTTTCCTCCTTTCATGTGCGACTCGACTGCTTTGAGCCCCATGGTCCCTAATGAAAAGGTTTTTGGTATAGTTTACACATTGCCTCATTGTTGTTTTCAACCGGCGCCAACCACCTCCTAAATGCATCCTATTCCATCCACTTGTCGTTAAATTTGCACTTCCCCACCTTCTTTGCATTTTCAACCTCACATCGACAACCGCGTAATGGCGACACGTAGCCTGACGTTAGCGTCTGTAGCCGACGTACCGTAAACAACTATTAAATTGCGGAGACTCATTTCGCAATACTAAATTAATCAACTATTAGATGTTTTACGATGGACCACTGTGCTTTCTCGTCGTCATTAAGCGCACCGGCAAAAAATTAATACCTACAGCAACTTTACGTGAAATTTAAGACAATTTAAGACCTTAATTACCCGAATTTTAATTTAAGACATTTTAAGACTTTTTAAGGACCCGCGGGAACCCTGTTGTCCTTGTTTTATTAACGTCATGATTGCAAAATGCATCCAGGAAGTTATGTCAGAGCTAAATGTCCCATTAACAAAAGTGACTCTGTACTCTTTAACAGTTCTCAGCAAGTGACTCTGCTTCGGTTTGGAGAGGCCTTAGAAACCCCTCACTCCATGAATGACCTCCGCCTGGCAGACAAGCTGTTCTACTTCTACTGCAGATTTGACAATGTCCTGACTCCATCCCCCACACCTCCATCAAACTAGTTATTGTTGTGGCTGCCTCCACTAGTTGCATTGTGTACAGCACCTGACATCTGCAGCCACGCCACCCCCCCGACCAAGTGTCCTCTTTTTTATGTTGCCGGATTGGAAATGGTGACGTATCGTACCAAAGGCTCAAAATGGTCGTATTTGGAGGATAATTATCGTGTATCTGGCAACATTGAGATCGGTCGACCAATGACTGTTCTCTCTACAGTCAGAGCTCGCGCAAGAAGGTGGAACGTAAGGGAGACACCATTTCCAACACTTAAGGGCGGAATAACTAGTTTGTGAAAGACCCAGAGAAACACAAATATCCGACGAAGCAAAATCCCAGACGTTTTTGGAATCCCTGCCGGACGCATTTTTTAGGTCTCAAAAAGAGGACATGTCCGGGGAAAAGAGGACATCTGGTCACCCTAGCATAAGGCAAACCCAGGTAAAACCCGTTTGACTGCAGTATGTTATGAGTCTTATAATCCGGTGCGCCTTATGTATGGAAAATGTTCTAAAATAGGTCATTCATTGAAGGTGCGCCTTTATAGTGCGGAAAATAAGGTAATTTCAGATACATTTTGAACATACATGAATATATCTGCTAATTATAGCCATATCTTACCATACCACCATTAACAGTGTTTAACACTACAATCTAAGAAATAGAAGAATATAAGAAATAGAAAGAAATACATTTTCTAATTGGGAACCCATTGAATTTCCCAGGGACCCACTCAAATCACCACCTGTGGGTCCCGGGGACTCACTATATTGAAAACCTATCAACATCACTGCTCATGTGCTCACTGAGCCAGGTTTCAATGATGCAATGGGCTGTGGATTTGCTGGAGTCTGTGTGAGTTTTGTTGCGGAGCAGCAGTTCATTCATCCAGTTGGCCTGAAAGCGGACGTTTGCCAGATGAATTGATGGGAGCGCATTTCTGAATCTCTGCCTGTGCATTTTTACCCAATCGGAGACTCCAGCAAATCCCGAGGAGAGCAGCTGCTCCTCTAACCAAGAGCTCGGTGAAACTTTCCGGTTCGATGAAGCATAAAGTTCGATGAGCCCCGTTGTCAATCCTTAGCACTGATAACATATCTGTCAACTAAATTTAGTACATTACCATACGTGTTTGACAAGTGTGGTTTACTTAAGAATTTTTAACTTAACTTTAACTTTGTTAAACTTGACCTGTTAGCATGTGGTGCCAGTACTATATTTCAAAATAGGCCTGTAGATGTGTGACATTTTATTGTATGTTTTTTTTATTGTACTGGCCACATCTGAAGTTGATTTGGTTAAATCTCTAGGACCAGTTCATTAAAGTATGGCGCATTGAAAGGGTAAAAAATAACTAACAAATTCAAAATGATGGCTACCTCTCGTGTTTAAGGTATACAGTAATGAGACGTTATTTTGCGTCTTACCATGTTACATATACCTACCAAACTTTGCACAGCGAGGCAAAATGCAATGTCAGGGCTACCCGAGGGGGGGGGTGCTATGACATTTTTTCCGACTGGAACTCGATACCCATATTAGATAGTTACTTTTCCAAATGACTTATGTGCTAAATTTCAAGGGTTCACCAGTAGACACAGTAGAAAAAAAATCCCCTTTTTGCTAAATCTGGCAGGAATATGTGTATAGGTATAGTGTATAGGTATCAACATGCTGCAGGTCAGGATAAAATAAGTGTGTAATTGGTCTCACTCACTTTCTAGAGGTAATTATACAATGAATGTGACTCCTTCAGCTCAGTGAAGCCCAAAACCAGTTTAATGCTGCGTGCTCCTTTGATAACATCCTTTTGAGCTGCTTCTTTCTTTTAGGCAAAATATTTTCAGTAAATCCTTCTCTTTTGTTGTCCCAACTCTTGTCTTTTTTTGTTCAAAGAACGCATGGAGACGGCCAATAAGCAGCTCACTGCTAAGGAGTATGACTGCTCAGAGGACAACCACAAAACCATCTCCCAGCTGCTTGTACAGAGTGAGTACAACGCATTTATCTGACATGGATGTGACTGAAGAAACAAACAATCATAATTTATAGTAGGGGTGCCCAATAGGTCAATCCCGGTCGATCGCCAAGGCAGTGCCAGTAGGTTGTCTGCACGTCACGCATGCATGGTCGACCACGGGAGCTAACTGAAACTAATGCTAATGAGCGTTCCTTGCTTACTAACGTACACATTTAATATAATTTAAAAGCAAACCTGGCTGACTCCAATCAGTGCAAGTCATCAAGTAAGGTAATGACCAAGAATGGTTGTCACGGTTCCCTCCCTTCTGACAGATGAGAGGCTCGTTGTTGTTTTTTTATCGATTCATTTTGCATTTGTTTGGCATGCAGCGCAGTTGTTCCGTTTGGTTACTATTACTACTTTATTAAAAGTAGCTGCTGGTGAGGAGAGACAGAGACTTCTCTACATCCTCCGTTTTGTGCTTCACGGAGTTGTGGCTCTGCGGATCGATACCGGACTCCGCGCTCCAGCTGGCGGGCTTCCAGCTGCTCCGAGCGGACTGCGACACGGAGCTCTCCAGCAAGACAAAGGGTGGAGGAATCTGCTTCTACTTCAACAACAGCTGGTGCAACGACGTAACGGTGACCCTAAAACACTTCTCCTGATCTGGAAACTTTCTTCATCAACTGCAAACCCTTTTATTCCCCCCGTGACTTCGCTTCATTCATCCTGGTCGGTGTTTACATGCCGCCGCCGGGCAACGCACACGAGGCACAGCGGACACTCGCCGACCAGATACGGCGTGTGGAGCGGACCAACCCGGACTCTTTATTGTCCTCGGGGACTTTAACAAAGGAAATCTCACCCATGAACTTCCTAAATACAGACAGTTTATTAAATGCCCCACCAGAGAGGAGAACACGCTGGATCACTGTTACACCACAGTAAGCAGGGCTTATCACGCCGTCCCTCGTGCTGCACTGGGACACTCTGACCACGTCATGGTCCATCTGATTCCTGCATACAGGCAGAAACTATAGCTCTGCAAACCTGTGGTGAGGGAATTCAAGAAGTGGACCAGTGAGGCGCTGGAGGATCTTCGGGCGTGCTTTGACTGCACAGACTGGGATGTTTTCAGGACTGCTACTGACAGTCTGGATGAGTTCACAGAGGCTGTAACTTCCTACATCGGCTTCTGTGAGGACAGCTGTGTACCATCATGCACCAGGGTGAGTTACAACACCGACAAACCCTGGTTCACAGCGGAACTCAGAACACTACGCCTGCAAAAGGATCAGGCATTTAGGAGTGGGGACAAAGACTTGTACACAGAGGCAAAATACAAGTTTAGCAAGGCGGTGAGAGATGCTAAACGACTGTACTCTGAGAAACTCCAACAACAGTTCTCAGCAAGTAACTCTGCTTCGGTTTGGAGAGGCCTCAAACACCTCACTAACTACAAGCCAAAAAAACCCCACTCCATGAATGACCTCCGCCTGGCAGACGAGCTGAATGAGTTCTACTGCAGATTCGAAAGACAATGTCCTGATTCCATCCCCCACAGCTCCACCAACCTGCTGCAAACTCCCTAAAAAAACCCTCCAAAATGGGAAAATAGGAAGAAATCTGTTAGGAGAAGATAAAGACTGGAAACCTTCTCACAGGATTTGAGCGTTACACCCCAGATGCCATGTGTACAGTATTGAAATAAAAAATAAATGAAAACATGTTTAAATCACAATACCTAGCCGTGGTTGATTAGCGCTGATGGGTAGCGGAGAACATACGTAACAGTCGGAAGCATTTTCTTTTGTCGCTACGTGTTGAGCATAGCGGCACCACATATTTGCACAATATTTGTTCAATGGGTTTATCACATTTTCGAACCGGTTGTCTAGGCGGGTCAGTGCTCGCTTGGTGCGGTTGCGAATGGTCGAGTTAGAGTGAGTTGAGTTGTTGTGTCGGTCAAGTAAGTCGTCTAAATGTTTCTGGTGGAGGACAAAATATGGAATCAACACAAATAGAGTGACACCTGCAAATAAACACATGGTTACACGAGTCCCCCCCAGTCGTCTGAGGGGGTTCCATGATCGCTGTCGTTCCATGATAAGAGAGAACCACTCTTTAGGTAGGACTACGGAATCACAAAAAGATGCTGAGAAACAATGAAACTGAAGCAAGCTATAATATGAATAAACTGTCGTGGCACAAACGACTACTGTGTCTATGTGGAGGGGTCCTGGTTGTGTTCTTCTTCTTGTGTTGGTCCGCAGGTACACGTTGGGATGTGGAGTCTGCCAACCTTCTTTCTTGTGAGGCACCCGCGTTGTAGACAGTCAACACAGATCACAATGCACTGTGTGTCTGTCGGTCAACTACCCGTCCGTGGTCACTGGATCGGTGGTGTCGGTTGATTGACACTTGTTCTGGAAGTAGGGTCGCCTGAGCCCACTGCTGGTACTGGATCTGGAACCTTCTTGCAATGGGATGCGTGGACCCAAGTTGCTCTTTCAGCTACCTTGACCGCTGTTTGGGTGACCAGGAGAATCTGGAATGGACCCTGCCACCGTTTAGCTTTCCAACTTTTCCTCCTGAAGTCCTTCACCACCACGAAGTCACCTGGTTGCAGTCGGTGTAGTGGACCCGTTGCTTCTCTTGAAAGTGCAGCTACAACCTGTTTTCTTACATCAGACAAAGTGGAAGACAGTCGAATGCAATAGGTTAACATGTCATTCTCGCACATTGTGGTGGAAGGGAGTGGTGTTCCTGGAGCTTCCACACCTATATGGGGAGGAACTGTGAAAAGGATTTCAAATGGGCTTAGGTTGATCAGAACCAAGGGCAGTGCTTTTGTCCACGGTAGACCTGTGTCTGTGCAACATTTGGCCAGTTTTGTTTTCAATGTTCCATTCTCTCTCTCTCTACCGCTCCTCCACTAGCTGGATGGTATGCGCAGTGTGTTTTTAAGTCAATACCCAGGTATGCACTTAATTCTGTGATTGCTTGGTTGACAAAATGTGAACCATTGTCGCTAGAAATTTTGCTTGGGATTCCCCAGCGGGGAATGATCTCTGAAATCAAGGCTTTAGCTACTGTGGAGGCTGTCTGCTTACTGGAGGGAAACACCTCAACCCATTTGGACCACATGTCTACCATTACAAGACAGTGTTTCTTACCTTCCGATGGGGAGAGTTCCACAAAATCCATCATTACATGTTCAAACGGTCTTGCAGGCGGTGGATGTGCTGCATGATGTGACACCTGTACTGAACGACCTATATTGTGAGTTGCACATGTTATGCATGCTTGGCAGAACCTTTGTGCGTAAGCTGCAAAGCCTTTTGTGAACCATGTTGCATCAATGATACTTAACATTCCCCCTTTTGACACATGGTCTAACCCATGAGTCAATTTCGCATAGTGAGGGAAGAAATGTTTAGGTAAGCATGGATTACCATTCGGACCATACCAGATGCCGTCTATGAATTTGGAGCCTGAGGAGGACCAAAAACGTCTCTCATCTGAAGTAGAGAGGGACTGCACGGCTGCAAGAGAGGAGGGAAGAGAACACATGGCCGGAACTGGGCGTGATGGTTTGGGAAGAGGACGTCTAGCAGCCGCTTTTGCAGCTAAGTCTGCTCGCTCATTCCCCTTTGCGATGTCGCCTGTGCCGGATGTGTGCGCTGCACATTTACAAACGGCAATAGCTGTGGGCAACAAAATGGAATCCAATAGTTCTGCTATCAGAGTGTGGTGTAACACTGGTTTGCCATCTGATTTGAGAAAATTTCTGTGTCTCCACAGCGCACCGAAATCATGAACCACGCCAAAAGCGTATCTGGAATCAGTGTGAATGGTTGTCGTTTTATCCTTAGCTAGTTTACGAGCTTCTGTTAGCGCGATTAATTCTGCTGCTTGGGCTGAGAGGTGACATGGAAGAGGGCCGGAACACAGAACAGCTGAGTCTGAAACAACAGAGAAACCCACAAGATTAGAACAAGTCAGGGGATCCCGTGAAGCAGATCCGTCAACATACATTACCATGTCACTGTTGAGCAGAGGTGTATCTGCGAGGTCTGGTCGAGGTGTGCACTGAGCTTCCAGCTCAGCCAAACAATTATGCTCCTCTCCATCCTCCGGAGTGGGGAGAAGAGATGCAGGATTGAGGACATTGCAGCGTTTTACTGTAACATTCGGCATGTCTAGGAGACATGTGTGATATCGAAGGTAACGCGCTGCAGATAAATGAGACGACTTCTGTTCGAGAAGAATCAGTGAAACCGAATGTGGAACCAATAATGTTAGCGTAGCATAGCCTACAATGTCACGAGAGGCTGTAAGAGCCTTTTCAGCAGCTGCCACAGCTCGAAGGCACTGTGGTAAGCCTGCTGCTACCGGATCGAGTTTTGCGGAGAAATAAGCTACTCATCGTAGTTTATCGCCATGGGATTGTAGGAGCACTGATGTCATACATCCAGAACGTTCATCAACGGTTTGTGTGAACGGTTTGTGAGGATCAGGAAGACCCAAAGTCGGAGGAACTTGTAACGCGCATTTCATGTCCGTGAAAGCTTGAGAGGCTGCAGGGAGCCACTGAATTTTATCATGCGCGCTGAGATTTTTCCCATGTATCAATGCGGACAGAGGTTGCTCGAGTTGGGAGTAATTTGGAATAAATGACCTACAGTAGGAACACATGCCCAAAAATGACATCATCTGTTTCTTGGTTTGTGGTTTTGGAAGTGTTACAATTGAGGCAATGCGTTTTGGTGATAGTGTCTTCCCTTCACCGGAAATGTTATGGCCTAGGAAATGAACGTTTTGTGAAACAAACTGTAGTTTGGATAGGCTGGCCTTGTGTCCTTCCGCTGCTAAGTGTTGAAGCAATTTGAGTGTGTCCTGTTCACACTGCTTTTGTGTTGGAGCTGCAATTAAACAGGCATCAACATACTGCAAAAGAGCTGTTCCTGGAGACAAAGTGAGGCTCTCCAAACTTTCCCTGAGTGCCTCGTTGTAGATCGTAGGTGATTCTGTGTAGCCCTGACACAAGCGTGTGAAAGTGTAAGGCTTGCCATTGAAATTAAACGCAAACCAAAACTGACTGTCAATGTCCACAGGGACACTGAAAAAAGCATTTGAGAGGTCAACCACGGAAAACCATCGAGCATCAGGTGGAACCTGTGCCATAATGGTGTAAGGGTTGGGAACATTTGGGGCTCGTGCGTGGACGGCTGCATTAACTGCTTTTTAGGTCCTGCACCAAATGCCACTCAGTTGGTTTGCCTGCATCTCTGATCTTTTTAACTGGAAAAATTGGTGTTCTTACCGGCGAGTCAGGACATGGAACAATGACTCCGGCCTTTAAGAGGGAGTTGAACACCGGTGTTATACCGCCAATGGCCTCTTGGCGCAGTGGGTATTGATGTTTGTGGGGACGGAAGTCTGATCGAGGAGTGATGACCACAGGTTGACATTTTTTGATGAGTCCCACGTCATATTTATGCGCCGCCCACAAGGTGTCTGGAACAGATCTAAGGGCAGGAGAAATAGAGGAGACATTAGTCAAAAATGTATCAGTGTGTGTGTCAGAAAATATGTTATTTTCATCCATGACATAAACAGATCTGAGAGCAGGTGTGCAAAATGCGAATGGCTGTTTAAAGAAGCCTGTCGACAGAGAGCGCATCACAAGTGGATCTGGTGTAGCCTCCCAATCTGCCAATGCCTCGCACGCTGTGACAAAAGGTCCCAAATCTCTCCATTGGTCTGTTGCTGCTTTAGACAAGGAGATGTGTGGGAAAGAAGAGTCCACATTAAAGAGGTGCTGCTGAGAGGGGGTGAGAAAAACGGAAACAGCACATTTAAGTGTGGACCAAAACAATGTCATACATGCAATTTGATCATTCAGATCCTGTAGAAATAATGCATTATATTGCTTATCTGGCCCATGTGACACATGAGCTGTGCAGTGGAGATATGAAGCATCCATGCACTCTGCCTCAGGCTGGACGCGTGATGCTGCCAGGTGGGACAGTTCTGATTGTGAGTCAACCGGAAGCCACCACTGGTATAAAAACATTGGATCACTCATAACTGTCTTTGCCATCTGGTCAATGGCTCTGCATCTCACCACTTGCAACCCTTGTAGGAGTGGAGATGAGGCTAATGCCGAAAGAACACATGAGGTCTCTGCCCATTAGATTAATGGGACAGCAAGAGGACAGCAAAAAGGAATGTTTTACTGTGATGTCTGGTTCAGGGTCAGTTGAGTCAGTGTGTGTACTGGTCATAGGTGCCGTAAATCTCTCTACAATAGTCATCCCTGAAGCTCCTTGTGAGAAAACCTGTTTTCCACTAAGTTTCTGACCTGGAAAATACTTTTGTTGTATTACAGAATGTGTAGCTCCCGAATCAACCAAAAACGATGAAAGTTTCCCTTGAATTTGCACCATAGTGGTGGGCATATTTTCAAATGATTTTCCTGAAAACTTTGCATATGTGTGTTTAAGTGAAAGCTTTTGTTGTGTTCTCAATTGCTCTGTGATGTCCATGATAGCTTGTTGTTGCTCTGGTGTGTGTGTGTGAGTGTGAGTGTGCGTGCAGGGAGTTAGTGCAGAAAGCGTTTCTTCATTTCCGGCTGCGGTGTGTGTGTGTTTTACTTCCCTTATCATGTGAGGCCTCAGCATGGTTGCCGTCTCCCCCTCACATGCAGCCTCCTCCTCCTCCGCCTCACGTCAATCGGAATGTGCGTTGCCACCCCTTCCTCGTCTGGCCAGTCCACGCCCCCATCCTCTACGAGGTGCTTTTTGTGGACATTCTCTGTGCCAATGTCCTTGTTCGCCACAGCGGAAACCCGTATCATTGTCATTGGGTGGATACAGCTGTGATCCCTCCTGGTTCCAGGAGGAGCGTCCCCTTGTCACATGACCACGCCCCCTGAATCCGCCCCGTTGGTTGGGATCCCGTGGGCAGTCGTTTCTGGCAAGTTGAGTGACAGCTACGAGCATAGTCAGTTAGGCGAGTTCAATCTGACGTGACCGCCTTTTCCCCTCGTGGTCAGTTCTCTCTATGTCCATGGATTGCGCATGTGCAGCATGTTTCTTTACATCCGCGAGTCGCGAGTCTTCCATTCCAGCCACAGAGCGCTGCACAGTCATTTCTTTGTCCAATAGTCCATTCATGAAAGCATTCTTCAGGTGTGATTCCCACGTCCCCAGAGCGTCTCCTAACACGGCGGGTTGTGGAATACCACTGTTAAGATTAAACACTGTGAGAAGTCTTTGGTAGTAATCATGGACGGACTCACCCGCTGCCTGCTTGGTATTGTTGATGGGAGTCATATCCACTTTGTCAGGAACAATGTCTTTATGCCGTCGTTCAAAGCCGTGAGTGCGTCTCTGTACGGCTTATTTTGATTTGTACTCCATTCAACGTCGGCCGCACTGGTGTCTCCTGCAACCAGCTAGTTGGCTTTTTCTAGTGAGTCGGACCCACGTGACTCATTAGAACACGTCGAATTTCAGCAAAGTTGGGCAGGAATTGCTTACAGAAGTCCATGAATGCTTCAGCAAACAGTCTTCCCGAGTGCTGTATCGGCAGGAGATGAGCCATTGCAGCTCTAATGTCCGTATCAGTCCAAGGCCGGAAAACAAGTATGGGACCTGAGTGTCCTGGTACTTGAATCATTGGGGTTTGGAGCACAGATTTTGCATCCGGGGGGACTCCCTCTGGGTCGAAAGAGGGGGAAACAACATCTGATGTAGATGGTTGCTCTGCAATCAGTTTGTTGATGGCAGAAGTGTCCCCTCCGGTTGCTCCTGGAGAGCGAGATCGAGTGAGGAGAGCAGCCTGTCTCTTTTCCTCCTCTTCGCCGAGGAGTCGTTCCTGTGCTGCTTTCACTGCCGCTTCCTTTTCCTCCCTCTGCCGGGTGTAGTGAACCTTTTGAGCTTGTGACCATGCAGACAAAGGTTGCAGTTCGCCTACAGAGCCAACAGGTCTGTGGACGATGCTGTCAACATGGCCCTCCACTACATCCTCCAGCATCTGGACTCCCCAGGAACCTACGCCAGGATCCTGTTTGTGGACTTCAGCTCTGCCTTCAACACCATCATCCCGTCTCTGCTGCAGGACAAACTCTCCCAACTGCACGTGCCCGACTCCACCTGCAAGTGGATCACAGACTTCCTGTCTGACAGGAAGTAGCACGTGAAGCTGGGGAAACATGTCTCAGCCTCTCGGACCATCAGCACCGGTTCCCCCCAAGGCTGCGTTCTTTCCCCTCTGCTCTTCTCCCTGTACACCAACAGCTGCACCTCCAGTCACCAGTCCGTCAAGCTCCTGAAGTTTGCGGATGACACCACCCTCATTGGACTGATCTCTGGTGGGGATGACTCCGCCTACAGGTGGGTGTTTGACCATCTGGTGTCGTGGTGCAGCCAGAACAACCTGGAGCTCGACGCTCTAAAGACAGTGGAGATGGTTGTGGATTTCCGGCGGAACAGAGCCCCACCCTCCCCAATCACCCTGTGTGACTCCCCAGTCACTATTGTGGATTCCTTCCGTTTCCTGGGCTCCATCATCACCCAGGACCTCAAGTGGGAGCTGAACATCAGCTCCATCACCAAGAAGGCTCAGCAGAGGTTGTTCTTCCTGAGGCAGCTGAAGAAATTTAACCTGCCAAAGACGATGATGATCCACTTCACACGGCCATCATCGAGTCCATCCTCTGCTCCTCCATCACCATCTGGTACGCTGCAGCCACAGCCAAGGACAAGGGCAGGCTGCAGCGTGTCATCCGCTCTGCAGAGAGGGTGATTGGCTGAAATCTGCCTTCCCTGCGAGCTAAAAAGATCGTAGCCGACCCCTCTCACCCCGGACAAAAACTGTTTGTGCCCCTTCCATCTGGCAGGAGGCTGAGGTCCATCAGGACTAAGACCTCCCGCCACACGAACAGTTTCTTCCCGTCGGCAGTCGGGCTCATCAACAGAGCCCGGTCCCCCACTGACTGACTATAACATTCCACCGGTCACTCCTCTTCACACTGCACATGTCACTTTAACTGTAATTTATCTCTTTGTCGTCACTCGTCACTCGTCACTTTGTTACTTGTTCGCTACTGCACTTTATGCTTAATATTTTTTTAACTTTTTTAATATTTTAAATTTTTAACTTTAACTTTATTCCCTTGTTTTATACTAACCCATAGCCTTATTCTACTAACCCATTGCATTAGCATTTCATTTTACTTTATTTTATTACTTGTGCACTGCTGTCCTATTGTCTATTGTCACACTGTCTACTGTCGCGCACCAACCGCCAAGACCAATTCCTTGTATGTTTGACATATTTTGGTAATAAATGTTTCCTGATTCCTGAATCCTGATTATTGCCCCCCCGTCGACGGGTTCCCGGTGGAGAGGCCGGGGGGGTGTAGATTGCCACGACTTGGTCGGTTGAAAAGTTGCACGTCTGTTTTATAGTATTCAAGCCATGCATTGATTAAAAGTGATTGCAAGGGATTTATGGTGTGCATTACAAAAAACCTTTTAGACATAAGGAGAAAAGGCATTGTGTTTGTGCTGTACATTTGTTCAAGACAAAGAGACGATCCGTGAGAGGGAGAAGCTGGAGATGAATTTGAATGCGCTACGTTCCACCACAGAGGAGCAGAGAAGACACCTTGAGATCCGAGACCATGCACTTAACAACGCCCAAGCCAAAGTGGTGAAGCTTGAGGAGGAGGTAACAGCATCGCTCTTAACATCGTGTTCTATGAATTTGGGTTTAAGTTGAAGAAGCTTAGATGAAGATGAACAATTCCAGCAATAATATGTTCTTATTAAACAAAATACAAAGAATCTGAACAGCCAATTCATGCCAATTGTGTCTTGTTTATTACATCTAAAATGTATATATCAACTTTTTACATTTCGCGTAACGTAGAGAGAGCCACAACTGTGAATCTGGGGGAGGTGGACTTTCACAGGGACATATGATTATGACATTAATATTGTGTGTTAAAAGTTAGCCTCTAGGCATCCGCACGTCCTCAGAAATAAGGGTTATGGCAAAGGACCACGTACGCACTGCTAGGCTAAGCTAGCTGCCGGGCTACTTCCATCTCAACATCTACCCTGCGCGGCACACAGTCTGCAGAGGACCACTACTGTGTCCAGACAGCGGTTTGGAAAACGTCCTGGCTAAATGTCGGGAGATTGTTGGCACTTCAAGTACATTCCTTTATATAAACAGTGAACGTAGAATAGTTGGAAGTTTATTTTGGGTCTTGTAAGATGGGGGACCATGAAAAGGCTTCCACATGACACCGTAAGTTTGCTGTTCCAGTAGATCAACCTCCGGTCTGTAAGCCATGACCAGGTATTGGATTTAATGTTTCTCAGCCTCACGGCAGCTTTGCTTCTTCTGTCCGTATCACAATCTTGACTACAATCAGATTTTAATTTACGTCTTCGAATCGGATAATGAGATAAACCAGGCAGTGATCACATATTCCCAAAGCTGTGTTTCTTTAAAAATAAAGAAGGGAATCAGTATGTCAGTAGTATGTTCATCGGAGCATTATCTATTGTACAACTGTAGCTCAGAGCGGGTTGTCCTTCAAATCGGAGAATTGGCAGTTCAATCCCATGCTACTAGATTCCGGTCAATGTATGTTGGGCAAGACATTTAATCTTAAATTAGTCTCGAAGGCTGCATGGCGGCCAATGCTTGCTTAGTTCCGATCAGGGCTTGACATTGGCACCCGCCAAATGCGGGTAGATTTCGCCTGTGGCGGGTAAAGCTGTCTCTCTCACTAGCCACTTTGGCGGGTGAAATTAAATTTTTGGGATGGTTTTGCGTTTGAGATAGTATGTCCCTCCAGTGTTGCCGTAGAGGCAAAAGGGTGGTTAAGGGGTGAAGGCGGTCGGTCACATTGGTGGCAGCGGTGGTTCATGCAAACCGATACGGAGCGCGACGTGAGTGCGCACTTCCTTAGTTTAGCTCGCAGGCTGAATCCGCCTCAGAGTTCAATTCAATTCATTTTATTTTGTGTAGCCCATAATCGCATTACAAATTTGCCTCAGAGGGCTTTACAGTCTGTACACATACAACATCCTCTGTCCCGAAACCCACCATCGGCACAGGGAAAACCCTTCCAAGAGGGAAAAAAGGGAAGAAACCTTAGGGAGAACGTCAGAGGAAGGATCCCACTCCCGGGATGGACAGACTACAATGGATGCCATGTGTACAGAATGAACAATATATAATACATGCAATTCCTATGACAGAAATGATTCCTATGACAGAAATGATTCAAGTAACTGAGTAGTAAGCCAGGCGCACAGCAGGACCACTGCAGGGGCAACCACCATCAGATAGAACCACCATCCACAGAAGCCTGTGGGGAGGGAGAGCACAGAGACTTAAGGAGAGGGTAATGTTGGTTTACGAGTACAGTAATATAATTAATATCTAAAATAATAATGATGATGATGATGGCCGCAGCAGGCGTCAGCAGGGCCACGGTAGGTGTCAGGACCAGGGTCCCGAAGGAACCACGATCTACGGAGATCTTCTAGGGGAGAAAGCACAAAAAATTAGTCATTGTGCATTAATAAAACGTGAATTATGGTAGAACGAGAGTGTGAGAGGAGCTCGGTGTGTCCTAAGAATTCCCCCGGCATTCTAAGCCTATAGCAGCTTAACTAAGGGCTAGTCCGGGCTGACCTGAGCCAGCCCTAACTATATAGGCAGAATCAAAGAGGAAAGTTTTAAGTTTTACCTTAAAAGAGCTGACCGAATCTGTCCCCCGGACTGAAAGTGGAACCTGGTTCCACAAAAGAGAAGCTTGATAACTGAAGGCTCTGGCCCCCAGCCTACTTTTTAAAACCATAGGAACAACAAGTAACCCAGCATCTATGGAGCGCAGCTGCCTTGTAGGGCAATAAGGTGTTACAAGCTCTTTAAGATACAACGGTGCCTCACCAGCAAGTGCCTTGTAGGTGAGGAGAAGTACCTTAAAATCTATTCTTGATTTAACAGGGAGCCAGTGCAGAGAAGTTAATACAGGAGTGATATGATCCCTTTTCTTAGTTCTTGTTAATACACGTGCTGCAGCATTCTGAATCAACTGGAGAGGCGTACGAGATTTACAAGAGCAGCCTGATAACAAAGAATTACAGTAGTCCAGTCTGGAAGTGACAAACGCATGAACTAATTTTTCTGCATCACTTTGAGACAGGACGTTCCTGATTTTTGATATGTTACGTAGATGAAAATAGGCAGTCCTATATATAGTCTTCTTTATATGCGAGTTGAAGGTCATATCCTGGTCGAAGAGAACTCCCAGATTCCTGACTGTGCTGCTGGGTACCAGAGCAATTCCATCCATAAAAACTGTATCACGTGACAGCTGGCTTCGAAGGCGCTCTGGGCCTATCAGGATAACTTCCGTTTTTTCTGAGTTTAGCATCAGGAAGTTGCCGGTCATCCAAGTTTTGATGTCTCCAAGACATTCTTAAAGTTTAACTAGCTGGTCCGTCTCTTCTGGCTTGATCGACAGATACAGTTGAATATCGTCTGCATAACAATGGAAGTTTATGCGGTGTTTCCTGATAAGATCGCCCAAAGGAAGCATATAGAGGGTAAATAAAATCGGTCCAAGTACAGAACCTTGTGGGACTGCATGACCAACATTGGTGGTCTTTGTGGATTCACCGTTTACAAGCACAAACTGGGATCGATCCGATAAGTAGGATTTAAACCAGCTGAGTGAAGTTCCTTTGATACCAATTAAGTGTTCTAGTCTCTGCAACAGGATACAATGGTCTATGGTATCAAATGCGGCACTGAGGTCCAGCAAGACAAGAAAAGAGATGAGTCCTTGGTCCGATACAAGTAGAAGATCATTTGCAATTTTCACCAGTGCTGTTTCTGTACTGTGATGCGCTCGAAATCCTGACTGGAAATCCTCGAACAAAGCATTGTTTTGTAGAAAGTCACATAATTGATTTGCAACGGATTTCTCAAGGATCTTAGAGAGGAAGGGAAGATTAGAGATAGGTCTTGTAGTTAGCCAACACCTCTGGAGCAAGAGTAGGTTTCTTAAGAAGAGGTTTAATTACAGCTACCTTGAAGGACTGTGGTACATGTCCTGTCAACAAAGACAGATTCATAATATCTAATAAGGATGTGCTAACTAAAGGAAAAACTTCCTTAAGCAGCTTGGTCGGAATCGGATCCAAGAGACAAGTAGAAGGTTTAGACTTTGAAAATAAAGAAGTCAGTTGATCAAGGTTGATGGAAGAGAAGGCATCGAATCAGGCATCAGGGCCCACTGCTGCATCCAAGGTTCCTACATCGGAGGACAGGTCAGCACTGGTTGAAGGCAGGAGACCATCAATTTTCTCTTTGATAGTCAGAATCTTATCATTGAAGAAGTTCATGAAGTCGTTACTAGTGAGGTCCAAAGGAATACACGGCTCAATAGAGCTGTGACTCTCTGTCAGTCTGGCTACAGTGCAGAAGAGAAACCTGGAGTTGTTTTTATTTTTCTCTATTAATGATGAGTAATAAGATGCTCTTGCGTTACGGAGAGCCTTCTTATGTGTTTTAAGGCTGTTTGCCAAACTAGCCTAGATCCTTCTGATTTGGTGGAACGCCATAATCGTTCAAGTTTCCGCACAGTTTGCTTTAGGTTCCGTGTTTGAGGGTTATACCATGGAGCAGACTTCCTTCTTGTTGCTATTCTTCTTTCCAGAGGAGCAATAGCGTCCAGCACCACTCTCAAAGAGCCTGTAGCAGTATCGACAAAATTATCGATCTGGGACGGACTGAGGTTCTCACAGCAGTCTTCTTGTATCTTGAGGCAGGGCACTGAACTTAGAGCAGAAGGAATGGCTTCTTTCAATGAGGCTACAGCGGTATCCGATAAGCGTCGACTGTAGAAACCCTTGGCAGGAGGAGGTGGTTCTGATAGTAGAAATTCAAAGGTTATCAGACAATGGTCCGACAGGAGAGGGTTCTGTGAAAAATTGTTAAATGTTCAATCCCAATCCCATACACAAGAACCAAGTCGAGAGTGTGGTTAAAACAGTGAGTTGGTTTATTTACACACTGACAGAAACCAATTGAATCTAACAATGAAAGGAATGCAGTACTAAGGCTGTCGTTGTCGACATCCACATGAATGTTAATGTCACCCACAATAATTACCTTGTCTGTTTTAAGGACCAAACTTGTTAAGAACTGTGAAAATTCAGAAAGAAATTCTGAATAAGGACCTGGGGCCCTGTACACTATTACAAAGAGAACCGGCTGGATTATTTTCCTGGTCGGTTGAGAAAGACTGAAAACCAGGCTTTTAAATGAGTTATAGTCCACCTTAGGTTTAAAGTTTATTAAAAGGCAGGAGTCATAAATAGCTGCCACTCCCCCCCCCTCGGCCTGTGCCTCGGGGAATATGAGTATTAACATGACTCGGAGGAGTCGCTTCATTTAAACAGAAATATTCCCCATTCAACAACCACGTTTTCAGTAAGACAAAATATATCGACATGGTGATATTGATACTGATATTAGTTCATTTACCAAAACAGCTTTAGATGACAGAGATCTGATATTCAAAAGACCCCTTTAATTCTCCTATTTTGTTGCACTATTGCATTATTAGTAAATAACTTTAAAAAAGTTATTTACTATAACTCCTCGGTTGTTTACCTTTAACTTAGATAACTGTGTCCGTGGGGCAGACAAGGTCTCTATAGGGTTCATTATGCTGAGTTAAGCGCCGCCGGTTCAAGATGTACTTGGAGACTAAGACTCATTTAACAGCTATGGGCTATTTGGCAGACAGTCGGCCAGCAGTGATATCCATGTTATCTAAACTGTCTTTCTAAAAAACTCATTGCAGGGTTCTCAAGCCTCACGCATTGACCATGAGACACATGCGTTCCAACCAGTTCACACGCCACACCACACAGGTTGTCCTGCTACTGCTACCTGCGCTTCCCCTCTCGGCCACCGTACGCTCGTTACTAAGCGACATACGTGACAGGTGGAGGCTTTTGATAGAACTTCACACCTTGCTCAGTGCAAGGCGAGGATGTGGCGACACAGAGCAGCTGTAGGAAAACCCAGTGGACAGACACAAAAGAGAAAAACTGGTGATGAAACCTAAAATGATGAAGACAAAGAAAAAAAACGTTCAATGAAAAGTGGAGGTCCTGTCGAGAATGGCTGGTTTATGATCCAGCCAAGAAAATAATGTATTATACTGACGTAGGACGTACGGCAGTGAAAGGTTAAGGAGGTATTTTTTGTAGTTGGGACAAGCAATTTCACTGTGGAAACAATAAAGGACAATGAAATTTCCGTTGGCCAAAAGGATTGCGATTAAATCCTACTAGGGCAGTGGTTCTCAACCTTTATTCAGTGATGTGTTCTTTATGAAATATTTTTTCAGGCACGTATCCTCTAACAACCGAAAGGCATTTTTGGTTGAGAAAAAGAGGTAATAAACGTTGCTGTGCCATCAGTGTCTGATTTAAACTGTCAACACTAAATATTGCATTGTGGCCTTAAAATTGAAGGCTTTTTCTTTTACATTTTAGTGAGAAACGTATGCTTGTGCTTCACTGAGGGTCTTTGGCAGTCATGGGGACAGGAAGGCAACTGCTGTGATCAAGCTCTTCTCCAGGCACAGTCTGTGGCTTTGCTTTGTCTTGATCACATTCACAGCAGAGATGGACCGACATAAATATGTGAAGGCAATGGGTAGTAGCTGCTCAAAAGCTTTCCATCCCAGGTCAGGGCGTCGTTCGACATCCTCAAAAATGATCTCTCTTGTTGCTGAATTTAATATGCTCATAAACGTTGTCAGTATCAAAGTATCTCACAAAAGCAAGAAGTTGTGCATTTCCCTTGACATCTGTAGATTCATCTGGCTGTTGTTTTCACACAACTCCCTCGACAATGTCTGTTCCCATCTACTTGGTGGGACGCAGACTCATTAGATTAGAAGGCACAGCCTTCAATGCAGGGGTGGGCAATCATTTTTTCCAGAAAATATTATGGGGGGCCAGGCCAAAGGCTGAACTCAGTTCTGCGTAATATTAATTATTGTCACGAAGGGAGCTCTTGAGGAGGACTCGGACGCAGAGTTTATGTTCAGCTGAAGCTTTTATTTCAGACACAGGGAAATCTCTGGAAACAAAAAACTCCTCTGAAGAGGGATGAACAGGGGAATGCTCTGGCTAAACTAAGAAAGCTGGGCAATACAAAATAACGGGAGGCAAACAAAAATCTGTTGGTGAGGAAAGGAGAAAACAACAAAGTACAACTAAAAATGCTCCGTTTTAACTCAAAGAGCTGAATAGTCAAAAATTGCAAAACCAAAATCTCTTGCCGAGGAAATAACAAAACAATCAATCACAAAAAAGGCTCTGAAATAAATTGAAGAGCTGTGGAGCAATAAACGGCATAAAGCCAACTAAGGAGTCGATAACGAGGCTCGGGACAAACAAAGCTACGACTTGGGCTTGATTCTATCATGATGCGGGTGTGCAAGGCGAAAGGACATGACACACTGGCACAGGACAAGGGGAGACACAGACTATAAGTACACATGGGGGAAATGTTACACAATCAGGAATCAGGGAAGACAATCAGACTGGTGACACATGAGGAAGGGCAAGGAACCTGAAACGAGAGGAGAGTTCATTTCCGAAATAAAACAGATCACACAACAAACGTGGAGACAGGACAAAAAACCAACTTGACATACAGGTGTGACAAATTATATTTCCTTGTAAAAGCAGTATATAGCATTCTTTTGACAAGCTGGTAAGACTGTTATGAATACTGCATGTTATGATCAAGATATATTCAATACAATTTCCCACAACAATGGTAAACAAAAACAGTTATAGAAACATTTTGATCCCACTGCCAATGAAGGAAAAAAACATTTCATGGACAGCAGTACTGCCAGCTCCTCCGTAATCTTGAAGTCCTTTATCCCACGGACGAGTACGACATCGCAGCTCTCGTCCAAAGCCAAAAAGAAAAACTGCGTTGCAGCTGAAGCTCCAGATTCCCCGCAATGTCCTTGATCCTTTTCGTCACGATTCACCTGGATAGCGGGACTTCCTCAAGTCCTCAAGACTGTTTTTAATGATTTTGTGGGATATCACAAAGCTGGTCTTGGTTGCTGGATTTCTGGATGTGTGAGGGTTGGTCAAAAAGCCTTGCTGCTTTTGTAGCTTCCGATGTCCCGCCTTTTGAGCATCATTAAATATAGGCTAACAAGTTAAACAAATACAACCAGAAGGTAAAGAACGAAAGTTGGTAGTATGTCATGAACAAACAGTTTGTGCTTCTTTTTGGATATGTCTCCAAAACTATGCGTATTTCTATTTATTTTTAACTAGTTACACATGTATTTTATTAACTAAATCCATCATTTTAATCAGTCAACTGCATTACATTTCTATAACCTCAGTACAATATATTTTACTATCAATTCATTCAATTTTGCATAGCCCAAAAGTACAATTTGCCTCAAAGGTCTTTACTTTCTGTAAATATGCGACATCCGCTGTCCCAAAACCCTCACATTGGGACAGGAAAAACCTTTAACAAATAGAAAAAAGCACAGGAGCCCTCCCCCAGGATGCACTGAATGCAATGGATGAACTGTGTACAGAATAAACAATGTAAAAGATGTAAAGTACGTTTAATTCATACGGAATCAATCTCGGAATAATACTTGTCTGATGTTTGTTTAATACATTCTTTTACATTCTTTTCCATGTATTCCTCATAATTTGTTGATGCAAATTCTGTGTGTGTGTGAAGCTTAAGAAAAAGCAGGTCTATGTGGAAAAGGTGGAAAGGATGCAGCAAGCTCTGGCTCAGCTCCAGGGGGCATGTCAGAAGAGGGAACAACTTGAGCATCGTCTCCGTATTCGACTGGAAAGAGAGCTTGAGTCACTACGCATGCAGCAGGTAACATCCTGGGTCCTACATCCTGTACTGGTTGACGTTTACATAGACAATCAACGAATGAATAGACCATCAGGGTTTGCTTATGCATCTTCCCATTTCATATGTATACATTAGGTCGCAGGGCCAAACATATTAATGAATTGTATACAAATGCAGAATCGACCAGTTCTGCTAGTAAATCCTTCCATCTTTGCACAACATTTTAAAGTTGAAGATAATATATTAGCTGATAACATGTTACCTCGCTGAAGCGTATATGTGACTGAGGCTACTTTAGTTTTCAATCAGCTCAGTCGGTGAACATTTTTGAGCATTTGGCAGCGAAAGAGATATTTCTACAGTAAGTTAGTGGACCTAAAATTGAGCAAATAAAGAGAACTTTGGAAAATGCTCAGCATGTTGTTAGATTTGGGTGGCGGAAGAGGAACGCACGCTCAGACTTGTCGCATTAATTTCAAAAACACTAATAATAAGGGAAGCCAAACAGTTTGCTTGGAAGTGACAAGCACAAGGCCACAGAAACCTCTGTGCACCCTAGTGAGGGTCACAGTGTTACGTGGAGAACAGAGGACCCAGATGCAGAGGTGCGGAAAAATGTCTTTTATTCTTCCCAAACTCGAACTAAGGGGGCTGCCGTCAGCAGACGCAGTCCGGGACAAAACTTAAGGTAGATCTCGAAAAAAGACAACGCTGGATTGGTAACACAGGGACAAGGCAACAGCTCAGCGTTCAACAACAGTCTGACAGGGTAGTAGAGAAACAGTGGTTAGAAATAGTCAAACAAATTAAGCAGTGAGCAGAAACAGGTGAGTTGAGAATCAGTGTGAGAGTTGATTGCTATGGAAAGCGGCTGTGGGCGTTTAGGGCGAGTGAAAGCATGAATGGGAATGAGGAGGTGTGTTAATGAGTATCAGCTGGGTGTGCGTGTGTGTGTGTGTGTGTGTGTGTGTGTGTGTGTGTGTGTGTGTAGAAAAACAAAACAAGGAGGAATCCGGATCATGACACACAGGGAACAAACACAAGAAATTACAGCAGAGAACCAACGCAGAGATGCAGATATTGCAGGCGAACCCATAAGGAGACAAGGGACACATATGGTTTAAATATACTGGGAAGGTGTTTGGGGGTTTGGACACAGGAGGAAACAATCAGGTACACGGCAGAATATCACAATCACAGGGGAAAACACACCAGGGCAGGAAGGGAACTTAATCCATGGACACGAGAGGCAGGAAAATACTAGGAAATAAACCCACACCATGACACATACATACTTTAGGTGATGTTTAGTTGAATTTAAGTTCCCAATTTTTTCCACACATACTATCAAAAATGTTGGAGATGTCGCAAGACATATTTTATCTAAAGACTTAGGGGTCTTAAGCCATTTTATCATTAAAAATTGAATCTTGCTAAAACAGAAATCCCTAATACTTCTGGTAGATATTATATTGTATCCACCAATGACATTTCCATTTCCTATGTTCTGACTCCCCTCTTATCCCTCCCAGCGACAGGGAGGCACTCAAAGCCGTGGTGCAGTGCCGTCAGAGTACAATGCAACAGCGCTGATGGAGCAGTTGAGGGAGAAGGAGGAGCAGATCCTGGCTCTGGAGGCTGACATGACCAAATGGGAACAGAAGTACTTGGAGGAGAGTGTAATGAGGCAATTTGCCCTGGACGTTGCCGCGTCTGTCGCCACTGAGAGGTACCGTATTTTCTGCACTATATGGCGCACCGGATTATAAGGCGCACCTTCAATGAATGACCTATTGTAGAACATTTTTCATATATAGGGCGCATAAGATCCTGCAGTGAAACGTTTGACGTCGGGGCGGGTGGATGGGGGGGGATGTGGGGAGGTGGAGACTGTGCTTTCAGGGTTCTATCGGTGCTGCGAGGTGCGTCCGCTCCCGCCGCCCCTCGCCATCCACGTGTAGCCGAGTGGTTCGGGTGCGCCTACACTTCGTGTCGATAACAAAAGAAACAACCCGGAGCTCCAGTTCTGCGCCGAACCGGCAGCAACTTTATTTTTATCACCCTTTTCACCACACCCCCACTTGAACACCACCTCAACTTCCTCTCCTTCCATCTTCCCCTTCACAACAAAAGCCCCCACACCGGAACACCTGTGCAACAACAGCTTACACACGCCATAAATCTTCGGCTGCTCTCCAGCCACACCGCCTGCCAAGGGCCCGTTTTAGAATAATTTATTTTCCCCGTTCCCCGTTGATTAGGTGGAGACGGTGCTTTCAGAGTCCGATCGATGCTGCAAGGTTCATAGCACAATACCGCCATTATTAAAACGAAGAATGTTTACGAGAGAACAGATCAGATTGAAGAACTTTTGTCGGAAGAAATGCGTAAATATGACCGCTTATACAAGCCGTCATTGGCGGACTATAGGGACGCGCGGGCGGCTTCCCGATTCATGGAGGTCGAGAGGTGCACAAAGTTGTGGAGGAAAATACGGGACAAATGTGTCCGCGATGAAAAGCAACAGTGGCGATGCACGGGGCAATAAAGTCTATGATAAATAAATAAACAAACCATCGACCACACACAAAGACGTGACTCTCTAGGTCGCCTTCAACAGAAACACGTTACTCCACCTGTTGTTCTGGTGGTGAATTGCTCTGCAACACACGCAAGACTTTTAGAACCATGAATTGAAACGAGTGCGTCGACGCAACGACGCAGAGGCATGCGCCAGCCTTTAGAATAACTTATTTTCCCCGTTAAGATGGTTCAGCCACTGTAAAGAAAAGGGCACCGTCTCTCGCTCTTTAATCTCATTAAGTGCTCGGCGAGAACGCTTTGTTTCTCCGACGTGCCCTGAAACAAGCTCCATATCTCACGCGATTGAGCGCCCGCTCAGCATCTCGCCGTCGTAGACCGAGCTTTGGCATGTTTGGCAGAGCGCCTTGAGCGCCGTGTACAACCAGTATGGATCAACTGATTAACTAATTGATCCATATATAAGGTGTTCTGGATTATAAGGCGCAGGGTCGCTTTTTGAGAAAATTAAAGGCTTTAAAGTGCGCCTTGGAGTGCGGAAAATACGATACATGTACACGACAGTTATTGATATTGCCTTCACCAAGGCATTCTTTCAAACACTGGTGCCTCACATATGTTCACTGTGAATTTTAAATTATTGTGTCAGACGGTGTCTCTCACAGTAGTCTCGATAAGCAGAGAGCAGACAACATCTCATCGCGGCCAATTGCACCTGGACAGCGCATGCCTATTTTGTAAAAAACACACATTTGCCCACTTCTCCTAAACGCTGACTCTGAAGGATTTTCTTCGGATAATTATTGGTCATCAGAAATCATATAAAACTTAATTGTTACTCATCAAAACTCATTGTTTTCATAAGATATACCACCTATATCGAGGTGGAAAGGGTGAAAACCTTTTCAATTTCTTGGAACTCACATCAGCAAAGACCTCACCTGGTCTCACAACTTCAAATCACAAAAAAGGCCCAGTAAAGGCTGTACTTCCTAAGAAGGCTGAGGAAATTTGGTATGCAAAGCAAAATTCTCAGCCACTTTTACAGAGATACAGTCGAGAGCGTCCATACCAGTATGATAAAAACAGCACAATTCATCTCAGGTGGAGCCTTCCCCTTACTACAGGATATTTTTTCCTCTGCACAGTTCAGCTGTATGTCGCGCTTCTGTTTGTTTTATTTCCAATGCAAAAAGCTCTCTCTGTCTTGCTCTCTCCTGTCTGACTGACTGCAGCTAGCGGCTGTTTCCAGGGTCAACTTTGTTTACTTCCAAGCTTCTGGTGTGCCGGAAGCCCAGAAGTAAACAAAGTTGCGTTAAAATATTTCATAGCATTAATCTCGACCACATTAATCTTAGAGATTAACACGTTAATATTGAAATCCCTATAAAGTATACATCAAGCTAGTTGACATTTGTCACACTCATATAAATATTTACCTTGACAGACAATTCACTGAACTTGAAGATCTGAAGACTAGGACGACCAATGGCTACTTTTCTTACTGAATAGGCAACACTACCCAGCTGCACCTTCCCGCCATCAGAGGTCAGCAGTCATCTACGCTCTAACTATCTACCGTTTAATTTCATTTAAATAAGCCATCAAAAAATGGAAAAGTGGACTCTGAAAACAGGGGCTTTCGAGACAGGTGGGAAACAGAGTATCTGTTTACCAGCATTAGCGGTATTCTTTGTCTTTATTTACATGTTGTCCATAAACATGTATTCTTTAGCAGTTTAGCACCCTCTATGTGATTGAAGTTGACGAAGAGGAAGAGGAGGGATCGCTATGTATACAGAATGAACAACGTAAAAGACTTACAATGCGTTCAATTCTTACGACAGTAATGATTTAAATATTGAGAGTATTAAGGCAGGAACCATCACCTTATCGTGGTGGAGAGGTTTGTGTGTCCCTATGAACCTGAGGGCTGTGTTGTCGGGAGCCTTGTGCTCCTGGTAGGGTTACCCTTGGCAAAGTGGTCTCAGGCGAGGGGCCAGACTAAGAATGGTTCAAGACCCCATGAAAAAACGGAAGAGGGAAGGAGTTACCCGGCCCGGAGGAAGCCCGGGGCCCCCATTTGGAGCCAGGCCCAGATGGAGGGCCCGACAGCGAGCGTCTGGTGGCCGGGTTTACCGCGGAGCCCGGCCGGGCACAGCCCGAAGGAGTGACGCGGCAGCCCAAGACTCTACTCCCCATGGGCTCACCACCTGTGGAGGAAACCGATGGGGTCGGGTGCGCTGCTACAAGGGTGGCAGTGACAGTGGGGGGTCTAGACGGAACAGACCTGGGCAGCAGATGCTGGCTCTGGGGATGTGGAACGTAACCTCTCTGGGGGGGAAGGAGCCGGAGCTTGTGCGGGAGGTGGAGCGTTATCAGTTGGATCTGGTGGGGCTTACCTCTACGCACAGCCTCGGCTCTGGAACCACACTCCTGGATAGGGGGTGGACTCTATTCTACTCCGGAGTGGCCCATGGTGTGAGGCGCCAGGCGGGTGTGGGGATACTCATAAGTCCCCGGCTGAGTGCTGCTACATTGGAGTTTACCCCGGTGGACAAAAGGGTCGCCTCCCTACGCCTTCGGGTGGTGGGGGGGAAAACTCTGACTGTTGTCTGTGCATATGCACCAAACAGCAGCTCAGAGTATTCGGCCTTTTTGGAGACCCTGAATGGAGTCCTGCATGGGGCTCCAGTAGTGGACTCCATAGTCCAACTGGGAGACTTCAATGCGCACGTGGGCGACGATGGAGATAACTGGAGAGGCGTGATTGGGAGGAATGGCCTCCCTGATCTGAACCCGAGCGGGTGTTTGTTACTGGACTTCTGTGCCAGTCACGGATTGTCCATAACAAACACCACGTTCGAACATAAGGATGTTCATAAGTGTACGTGGTACCAGAGCACCCTAGGCCAAAGATCAATGATCGAGTTTGTAATCGTATCGTCTGATCTGAGGCCGCATGTTCTGGACACTCGGGTAAAGAGAGGGGCAGAGCTGTCAACTGATCACCATCTGGTTGTGAGCTGGGTCAGAGGATGGGGGAAGACTCGGGACAGACCCGGTAAACCCAAGCGTGTAGTCAGGGTGAACTGGGAACGTCTGGAGGAGGCCCCGGTCCAAAAGATTTTCAACTCACACCTGAGTTGGTGGATACCGGTGGTCAGGGAAGCCGTCCGACTGAAGAAGGAGGCCTTCCGGGTTATGATATCTGGTGGGACTCCAGAGGCAGTTGCAGTGTACCGACAGGCTCGAAGGGCAGCAGCCTCTGCTGTGATGGAGGCAAAGCAGCGAGTATGGGAGGAGTTTGGGGTAACCATGGAGAAGGACTTTCGGTCGGCACCAAAGTGCTTTTGGAAGACCCTTCGGCACCTCAGGAGGGGGAAACGGGGAACCATCCAAGCTGTGTACAGTAAGGATGGGACCCTGTTGACCGCGACTGAGGAGGTTATCGGGCGGTGGAAGGAACACTTTGAGGAACTCCTGAACCCAACTACTACGCCCTCTTTGGTAGAGGCGGAGCTGGAGGCGGAGGAGGGATCATCGTCAATTAGCCTGGTGGAGGTCACTGAGGTAGTCAAACAACTCCGCAGTGGCAAAGCCCCGGGGATTGATGAGATCCGTCCAGAGATGCTAAAAGCAATGGGTGTTGAGGGTTCGGCCGATAGTCGAACCAAGGATTGAAGAGGAACAATGCGGTCTTCGTCCTGGTCGTGGAACAACGGACCAGCTCTTCACTCTTTCCAGGATCATAGAGGGGGCTTGGGAGTATGCTCATCCAGTCTACATGTGTTTTGTGGACTTGGAGAAGGCGTATGACCAGGTCCCCCGAGAGATACTGTGGGAGGTGCTGCGGGAGTACGGGGTGAGGGGGTCCTTGCTTGGGGCCATCCAATCCTTGCACGCCCAAAGCGAGAGCTGTGTTCGGGTGCTCGGCAGTAAGTCGAAGGCGTTTCCGGTGGGGGTTGGCCTTCGCCAGGGCTGCGCCTTGTCACCAATCTTGTTTGTGGTTTTCATGGACAGGATATCGAGGCGTAGGAGGGGGGAGGAGGGTCTACAGTTCGGGGGGCTGCGGATCTCATCGCTGCTTTTTGCAGATGATGTGGTCCTGATGGCATCTTCCGTCTGTGACCTCCAACTCTCACTGGAGCGTTTCGCAGTCGAGTGTGAAGCGGTCGGGATGAGGATTAGCACCTCTAAATCTGAGGCCATGGTTCTCAGCAGGAAACCGATGGATTGCCTACTCCAGGTAGGGAATGTGTCCTTACCCCAAGTGAAGGAGTTCAAGTACCTCGGGGTCTTGTTCACGAGTGAGGGGAAGATGGAGTGTGAGTTTGGCCGGAGAATCTGAGCAGCGGGGGCGGTATTGCACTCGCTTTACCGCACCGTTGTGACGAAAAGAGAGCTGAGCCGGAAGGCAAGAGTGGCTGGCGTCTCCCTTAGGGATAGGGTGAGAAGCTCAGCCATTCGCGAGGAGCTCGGAGTAGAGCCGCTGCTCCTTTGCGTCGAAAGGAGCCAGTTGAGGTGGTTTGGACATCTGGTGAGGATGCCCCCTGGGCGCCTCCCTAGGGAGGTGTTTCAGGCACGGCCAGCTGGGAAGAGGCCCCGGGGAAGACCCAGCACTAGGTGGAGAGATTATATCTCTGCACTGGCCTGGGAACACTTTGGGATCCCCCAGTCAGAGCTGGTAGATGTGGCCCGGGAAAGGGAAGTTTGGGGTCCCCTGCTGGAGCTGTTGCCCCCGCGACCCGACCCCGGATAAGCGGTTGAAAATGGATGGATAGATGGATTAAGGCAGGAATAACCACCATCGAATAGAAACAATATTTGACACTACGTTGTGCATGATACAATGCTCGATTTGCGTTCACACTGCAGTGTTTAACAGAGTAAACTAAAGACTAAATATTGTAAACAAAAAGCATGCGTGAGCAAACTGTTATGCGATATTATTGTAATTTTCAGACCATTTTATGCCACTGATAACATAATAGTGTACTTGTATTATTACTATGCTATTTCAAAGAACAAAGAACGTTTTATTTGTCAGAATAGTTAGACATTAGAATCGGAGTGCAAGGGACACGGAACGGGCGAAGCATCGGGCTTGGTGCGATGCGGTCGGGTTCAAGAAAATGTGTCCACCGCGGCTGCCGAGGAGGTTTAACGCGGGGCTTCGACCGCCGGCAGGGCGACGCGCTCCGCGGCTGCAGGGAGAGACGTAGCGGCCCGGTCCCTCTAACAATCGGCTGGCCCGGGAGGAATGCAGGACGGTGGTCTGGGGAGGGCAGTCATCCTGCCCAAAGAGGCGAACAAGCAGTCCAGAGTAACCGACAGTAGGCGGATGGTCACATATCGCATGGTCATGCGACAGGCCTAAATAGACTGCTTTTTTGGGGGGTTTTAAGTGTGTGGAATTGGGGGTGCATGACCCAGTTGGGTTGTAGAAGAGGTGCGTAGCCTAAAAAGTCTAGTGTATTACTTCTTCTGGTGGAGATGTTGACATACATTTCAGGAGTCAGCAAACAACCAAAAATCTGTGTTCCCTTTTAGCATGACAGCAAGAGTTCAAGATAAACCTTTTGGTCTCATAAATATGCCTGTTTTAGTGTGTAAATGCAATTTCGAGCAGAGCCCTAAAAAACGCCTTGTGCAGAAAAGGTTATTGTCAGTTAGTCATCAGCTGTTAGTCAACAGGCGAGAGATGGTGTTAAGGCTGGGTATTCCACTCGGCACACAGGACACTGACAATCAGTAGAAGTCATTTAATGAGTGTAGGACTCCACGGGAAGGGGATAGCCAAGGTTGAGCTCGGGGTTCCGGGGAAGGGCCCGAGCTCCACTGGGGAATCCCGGTGACGCAGGTGGGGACGCCGAGGCAAGGCAAGGCAAGGCAAGGCAGGCGGCACGGCAGGTCGAGTTACCACATAGGGGTGTGAAACGATCTGGCGCTGGAGAAGCGAACAGCCCGGGTCTTAATACTGCAGGGGTGAATTGTGGATCAGCTGTGTGAGGACGGAGCAGGATGAATGGCCACGCCTCTTGTAGGTAGGGACAAACAGCACAGACACAGGGGAAAAGGAAGATACAAACACACAGGATTGGGACAAACAGCAGCTGACCCATAACAGATGGGGTAGATCCTGGACTAATCTGCCTGTTCATTACAGGGCAGACGGAGACAAACAACCATTCATTCTCAAATTCACACCCCTACGGGCAATTTAGTCACCAATTAACCTAACCCCCGGAACATGTCTTTGGACTAAAGCTGTGGTACTCGGAGAGAACCCATGCAAATGCCTCTCAGAAAGGTGCTGGTTGGTTTAAAACCCAGGACCCTCTTGCTGTAAGGCAAGAGTACTAACAACCACCGCCCTACCTCCTAATCATTATTGCATTTTCAAAGTGAGCACCTATCTCAAGAGAGCACCTATCTGACAGGCATTGAGAACAGGTCAACCATTTAGTCTGAAGTCCCATGGTTGAGCTAGTTTTGAACTCTTGTATTTTCTTTGCAGGGATACATCTATAGCAGTAATGAGCCATTCTCCAAGCAGCAGCTATGACACATCGGTGGAGGCTAGAATCCAGAAGGAAGAAGAGGACATTTTCATGGCCAATCGGCGCTGTCTGGACATGGAAAGCAGGTAAGGCACTCCCCACCTTAGGGCTGTCAAAATTGCTCTTAAAGGACGTTTGAATATTCGCTTTAAAAAACACATATATTCGAATATCTGGTTGCGCATTAGCCACGTCCATAACAGGACAAATTAATACAACGAGACATAACTACTTGTATAGGTAATTTATTTAAGTTTAAACATATTTAACAACATATTACATACATAAAAAAAAGTAAACTAATGGACAAGACCGCAGACCTCTCGCACACATGCACTCTCTCTTTCTCTCTCCCGCATCGTCGCGCTCTCTGTGCATAGTGGTTTAAATTAACGACAAGAATAAACAAATGCTGAGTGTGTGCAAGCAATTTAAGGCCGCGATTCTTGTCCCAAATATGGCAGGCTTCATTCAGTGATTGAAACAAATATTATTAACATAAATTGAAGTTTTACAGTACCGACATTGAGCGCTCCGAGCGAGCTGTGCTGTGGTAAACATGGAACTTTTCCTTGGCATGAAACGGCAAATAATCAAACCAGTGCATGAAGCTGTTGTAGCCTATCTAGTCCATTTTATTCATGCAATATACAGTCAGTACAGTCATGCGCACGCCCACCCACAAAGCCGACATTTGTGCCGCTGCTGCGGTTGTGTTTTTTACATTCGATTATTATTTTTCACATTTGAACAGTTGTTTTTAACAGCTATTCGAATATATTTTCAAATTTAGAATATTTGTTGACGGCCCTACTCCACATACAGAGAGCCTCCCTGATCCTCTTCGCAGATCCTCTCTGTTCCTTATGCAACCGTAGCTGTCTGACTTTTGTTGTTAACCAGTATTTGTTTTTTCAAGTAAACACATTAATTCATTGACGCCGAAAAGGATCGCCAGCTACCCCATCAGCTGTTCACCGCTCGCCGGCGATTTAGCGTGTTTGCAATAAATTGTTTTATGATCTAACTTACGTTGGATTTTTCAAAACCAAAAACCCTCCAAACAGACACAGCTCCTCTCTTGGGCACAGGTTGTGTCGCTGCATCTCTGGTCTCTCTCCTGTATCGCTCTTTTGCGTGTTTTCGTGTAACAACAGAGTTACTTCTTGTTGGGAGCTGTACCCAGCATGCAGTTTGGTGGGGTAATTTTATAAATGTACAATTATTAGTGTTAAATTGTTTATGTGTCACAAGCTGTTGTGTTGTGGTGTTTTACCCTGTTAAAGAGTGTTTGTTTTGGGTTTATTCATTTTTTCGTGACTCAATCTCAACACACGTAAAACAAGTAACTCCACCGTTTCAACTGGTATACCGCCAAGCCCTACCTGCTAGAGCGAAAAGTCCGGTATTGTTCCACGGAGCCAGGTCTCCTTTATGTGCATAACAGAGGATGAAGAAAAAACAGCAGCTGAAGTTCGTTCAGTTTGTTGCACATTGAGCGCACATCTTAGAAAGAATAATGCCCAGCAGTGGTGCGAGAAGCTCGCAGGGACACACAAGTCCGCCACCCCTTTTTCCTCTCCTACAGTGTTTCAATGCACACATCTTTGAGTCCAGTAATTCCACTGAAAAAAGTCCTCTGGATTTCTTTCTCTAATCTGTATGAGCTCATCTCTGGTGGAAGAGCACTGGGTAGAACAGCAGACAAATCAATTTACAAAAAAGAAAATACAAAACAATGCGCACCAACAGAGGCAGCGCCATCTTGAATGTGTTCAACATTTTATCATAGTAAGATTTAGGTGTTATCGGATGGTGTAGTGGGTGGACCCAAACACACGCTCAGACAGCAGGTTTAATCCAACCTAGGACTTTATCCTCAATGGAGTGAAAAAAACAAAAGAATAACAAAGCTGTAGCAAACTGTCCTAAGAAATAAAGACACTCCTCTGGCTCCACCAGAGTTGAGAGGAATACTCCACCGATCTCTCACCAGGACACGGTCTGGAGGGACAGGCCGGCGTTACTGTGTAGGGGTCCGACATCATAAGCAACTCATGTAGGACTTTGACTAGGTGGGGATCGATGCTGCAGTAAAGTAAAACACACAGAGAGGTTTTACTGAATCGTTGAGACATAAGTGATCTGAGGTCAGTCATATAACTTGATGGACTGACAATGCGGCAGGGAAACGCCAAATTATTCAAGCCAGCCAGCGGTGATCACCGGGATGAGCCACAGCTGAACCACAGAGAGGGGCGAGGCAGTGGGCGAACACAGGACATTATAGGTTGACACAAAAGCTAAATATAAGTACGTGGCTCTCAATAAAAACACACTGTGTGTACGCGCAAACACGTGCGCGCACACACACAGGTTAGCACCCTCCCACCAGAGGACACAGAGGGCATGTCAGCAACGCCAATATAAAAACCCTTCCAAGAGGGAAAAAAGGGAAGAAACCTTAGGGAGAACGTCAGAGGAGGGATCCCACTCCCGGGATAGACAGACTACAATGGATGCCATGTGTACAGAATGAACAATGTATAATACATGCAATTCCTATGACAGAAATGATTCAAGTAATTGTGAATTGTGAGTAAGCCAGGCGCACAGCAGGACCACTGCAGGGGCAACCACCATCAGATAGAACCACCATCCACAGAAGCCTGTGGGGAGGGAGAGCACAGAGACTTTAGGAGAGGGTAATGTTGGTTTACGAGTACAGTAATATGATTAATATCTAAAATAATAATGATGATGATGGCAGCAGCAGGCGTCAGCATGGCCACGGTAGGTGTCAGGACCAGGGTCCCGAAGGAGCCACGATCTACGGAGACCTGATAGGGGAGAAAGCACAAAAAAAAACTCCCGGAAAGAAGCTGAATTAGTCATGTGCATTAATAAAATGGAGATCGTTTTTCAAATCCTCAAACTACTTCAACTTTCAGATTCTTCAGCTTTGCCAATCTTTCAGCTACAGACACCATTTCATCTTTCAAATGTTGACACAAGTCTCAACTATTTTATGAAAATAACCGCTTGTTGATATCTATTCTACTTTTTTCATAATCACTGATTATGTTTCACTAGTTCTTCGCTCCGTTTCTGAGTTTTACATGAGTGTGTATTGCGTCTGCTAGAGGGGGGACCTCGAGGGCTAGAGTGTGGGGCAGCGCCAGAATCTGGTTAAAAAAATATGGAACTTCTGTCCTCAGAGCCAAAGTATACACTTTTGAGCTTTCTTTTCTTTGGATTAATGATGGCATGGTTGTGCTGATTGGATTAATGTGTTCATGGAATCCCAGAGTTGTTTAGTTTTGGCTTCAGAAGTGTTAAAGTGACACAACCTCTGCCAAAAGCCCCTTAGGCTCCAATGCAAATCCGCCGACATATTTCTCAAAAAATCCAGAAGGTACACGTTTTGTCAACTGCGATAGGGGCCGTATTTATTACCGGACAGACATAAAAAACGCATTCATGCGTTCGGTAGAGTCTTGGGTCTCGTAAAAACGTATTTTTTAGATAGCTGTTATAGTTTTGCGCTGGTGAACACTTGTTTGAGGTGTGGATTCTGTGTAACTCACTGTCCTGTCTCTCACTGCATGAAAAGTGGGATTTTCGGCAGTATGCGGCACTGTAAATTGTCGTGGAATTTCAGGTTTGCGGCAATTTGCAGGCAACGCCGAAAACTGCCGTAAATTGTCAGAAATTCATGTGGGCCTCCCTTGCCAGTTGTCCCCCCATGACCCCCCTCCTCCTAATTCTAGGGGAGGCTTTGACATGTAAATGAAAATGCTGTGAGCTATACAAATGCAAATCAGGGTCGCAGAGGGAGTTTTAGCCCAGGTGACATTTTTTTAAAAGGTAAGAAAATCTCTGGTACAAATAGATCAGGCTCAGTAGCCTAATTATAGACTCTTAAATTTTAGCTTGAATTGATTTATTTAATTCAAATATGCTAGATTACTGTGTATGCCATTAGCAATGGAAAATGTTATGTAAAAAACATACACAAAATAACTTCTTAAAAAAATTAGTTTTAATCAAGGTAAAATGAGCATTCCATGCAAACCACATATGAATCAGCATGAGGGGTCTGCAGAGATCACAGTCTCCTAGAGCTCAACTACAGTGCATAGTGGCAGGACTACAGTGACCTTTTCTTTGGTCTTACTTAATTGCACAGAGGATGTATTAACCACACATCTTGTAGCAATGCGCTCAACTGGCAGAAATGATGCTGGGTATGACGTGTCTGTTCCCTGCAAGCCCCAAACTTCTATTGGCTTTCCATAAAAATGTCTGTCCGGGTGGGGATGAAGCCAGGAAACTTGTGCAAGAACATGTTTAAATGCCGTACCCTTTGACACATTAACAACTATAAACTGCTTTATAATGGCTGGTCGTAGTTCTGCTAGAGGGTCAAGGACGGGTTCCTCAAAACTGTTAGTGTTTCCACACCACTTAGCATGAACACATGCTGACCTTTATGCTCTGCATCTATCGATTGAGTAAGTTACATTCATATATGTTACCCGTTTACATGTCATGGCAAAACATTCAACCTCAGTGACACAAGGGTACATGTGATACATTGTCAACATTGCATGTCTGTCAGACTCAAGAGTGTCTGTGGAATGGAGAAAGAGGCACCACTGTACAGTTTTCTAGGGAAATTCGTTCTGCTGACACCAAAACACTGCTTTACATAAAGCATATCAGCTGTTTCATTCCACAACAAAGTCCCAACCATTTGTCTTCCTAAAATACTGGTCCTTCCGTATAACAATAACCTCGTATGTGATTGGAGGACCCTTAGACTCCTCGTCCAATCACGTGTGAGGTCATAGGCATGACTGATACAGCAGTACTTGCAAGACGAGCATACAAACAGACACGTGTGTGTCTGTTACTACGTTCAGAAGAACTGTATCTCCAGTTCCTTTGTTTGGTTTTTGCTGGTTCGTGAATAATGGCTGGACGACGTCTCGCGTTCAACTCGCCTTCAACTCCTCTCCGCGGTCACCAACTTTCGGCCAGTCCGCAGACAGACGAGAAGAAGCTGCTGAATGCTCTCCGTGGATCGTCTCGTCAACTCCAACAACAAACTGCCGATATCAACGAGCGGTTCGCTCCACTGGAGCGTTCGGGACTCTGCGGGTTTCTGTCCATGGAGGCGAGGAACCGACTCAAAGAAGAGGAGACGGGCGCACAATCCCAAGATAGCGGTAAGAATACGTTTGATGACTGCAAGCTAAGCTAAAAGTACCGTAGCCTCAAGCTAAGCTAAGAGTAGCCTAGTAGCCTTACAAGTGAGCAGAAACAGCTTTATTAAAGTGTGTTTTCTTTGCCGTGTCGTTTACAGGAAGCGGTGCAACTCCGAGACGAATTACAGGCGCTACGAACCGGAGCAAGGGTCAGATTTAAAGAATATGCTTTCATTCTGCGCTATAAGGGAATATATACGTATGAATACCATAGGATGGATTCCAATCATAACTGTACATTTTGTTTTCACAGACTATTCTCGCCTAATAATGAGGCGGTGACCTCGTATTTGCTCCGGGAAAAGTCCAGATTTAGACGACGTCATTGTGTGTAAGTGACACTGTTTACTGTTTCTCCTTCCTTGTTAAATGTTACTGTGACTTGAGTTTGATTTTTTTTGTATTCATACCACACTCATTTAATTGTTTTCCAGCCGCCTGTGAGACGTATTGTGAGACGGGACGCAGGAGCTGCGAAGGATTCAGCGCGGAGTCGAGCGAGAAGAAAGAGGGTCAGAGTTTATTTGCTGACTTGTTTCAGGTGCATTGATAGATGTGTTGTGTCCGTACGCATCGCATCGCACAGTACTGATTCATTGTTGTTTTTACAGCTGCTGGAATCGAGACAAAGTGTGCTGGCTGATGACGAGGTGGAACTCTGGAAATCCGCCACCGTGGACCTCACGTCGGACGGAGGGGACGCAGTTGTTGGCGGGGTCTCGGGGTGGATTGTACGGTCGCCACACACACACGAGCCGCCTGCACAACAGACCTGCCTCGGAAAACACGCCGCCAGTGACGGTCTACAACCCCGAGGAGGCAAACGGACAGTTTACTGAGCTGTAGTTTTTAAACCGCCGTTACCCAAGTGTGGGCAGATCTTCACTTTGTATGTAGTTGTTTGTGTGTTGTTAATAAAGCTCTTTCTTTGCACAAACATGTGGCAAATGTTCATTTTCTCTATAAATTCATTGATGTCCTGGTTGGTATCCTAATAATAGTGTAGTAGCCTACATAGGATAACCATGAAATGAATATACAGCATAATATGAATATATCAATATATATAAATAAAATGAGGCGGGTGACCAATAGCGACAGATCTGCCAACCAATCACAAGTGATTGAAAGTTGTGGTTTCATCCAATCATGAACAAGGAAACTCAAGCCTGGTCTGCCCACGTGTGGTTTTGCTGCCAATCACGAGTGATTTTATTTGTTAGTAAATTGTGGTTTCATCCAATAAGGAGTAAGGATATTCAAGCCCGCTCGGCCACCCGCGGTTTCGCTGCATTCATATGCTAATTCGGGCCATTCGCACCTCCGCCAGCTCTCCACCTACGTCATGGTTCGTTTCCGACAATTTGTGGCACAGACAAACGCGACGTGCGCGGGTGGCAAATTGTCGGAAATTAGGGAGATTTCCGGGCGTTTACGGGGACGAAAATCTCACTTTTCATGCAGTGTCTGCCCTGTTCAGCAGCTCGTTAATGAGCCCAGGTGCGCCGTTGCCGTGGATACTCACACACACTCTGCAGTATCTCTGTCTGTGACTCACAGCTGCTCCTATTACCTGATTAGTGGAGTCACATGACGCTGCTATGTTTTCTGTCAATAGACCAACATGATGAAGACACTCTCCTCTCTATCTCTTCCTCACCACCCCTCCCTTCCTCACCCTCTCACCCTCCCTCCCTATATCTACCCACCCAATCCAATCATTTCAAAATAAAAGCCCAATGGAGGGAATTCTTACTGTAATGTTTGTGGGGAGGCCTATTGATTAATAACTTCTTAGTCTGAATAACAAACATTCTGTCTCCCAACCCCCCCTCACCCAATTCCATCATTTCAAAATTAAAGCCTCAAGAATTAACTGTACCTTAACCATGAAGCTCAGAATGAAGCGGTTTCGTTGTATATGTATATGTATTGCTCTTTCAATTACTACTACAACCACTACGAATATTACTAGTACTTCTAGTAGTACTACTACAACGGATACTTCTACTACCATACTACTAGTACTTATACTACTATTGATACTATTACTACTACTAGTGTTATTACAAATACTCCTATGGCTAATAGTATTAGTATTACAGCTGTTTCTACTGCTATTGATACTAAACGTACTTCTACAGATAGTACTACTAATACCACAATTACAACTATAACTAATACTACTACTAATATTACTACAAACAATTTTAAACCTCTTTTTAGTCATCTCAGCTTTTGTTATTTCTGTACTTTGTTAAATTAATTTAAGCTCCTGCAACTTCTGTATTTTTTTTTGAAAATCTATTGAAATTCAGCTTCCCCACTTCCTGTATTTTCAGCAGTTCTTTAAAATAATTTCAGCTTTTATAATGCCTGTATTAACGGCAATGTTAATATTAATTTCTGTATTTTTTGCAATATTTCACATTCATTTCAGCTGTTATTTCTGCTTTTTCAGCAAATTATTGAAATTCCTTTCAGCTTCTCCCATTTCTGTATTTTCAGCAATTTCAAATTAATGTCAGCTTTTCTAATATCTGTAATTTCAGCACATGTATTCAAATTCCCTTCAACTTTCCGCTATTTTTAAAAATTCAGTTCAGCTTTCACCTTTTTGCATTCCAACGCATTTTCAGCAGGAAATGCATTTTCTAGTTATGATCCTTTCTCTTTTTCTGCCTAATTCAGAATAAAGAACCTCCATGCTCAGATCATAGAGAAAGATGCTATGATCAAGGTGCTTCACCAGCGCTCTAGGAAGGAGCCGATCAAGTCAGATGCACAATCTGCCATGAGGCCCACCAAGTCCTTGATGTCCATTTCCAATACTAGCTCCGGTGGTTCAGGAGTGCTCGCTCACAGCCTGGGCCTCCGTACCTCCCCCATCACCAAAGAACGCAAGGACACCAGCTGGAAGGGTAGCCTGTGTAAGAACCAAAACTTTCCGTTATTACAAAGAATTTACCCCATGTGACACTAGTAGCTGTTGAATGTTACTATTAGTGAGGATTGTGGTTAGATAGTCTCTTGTAGCTACTGTCCTGGTGAGTAAAGATTGCTCTCATCTCGTGTTCCTCCAGCAGGTCTGCCGGGTTACGAGTTTCGTACAGAGTCTCTCCGGACGGGGTCAATCTCGTCATCTCCCTCACCAGTGCTTCCTTCCACCCCCATGACTGCAGGACACTCGAAGACAGGCAGCCGGGATAGCTGCACGCAAACCGAAAAAGGACAGAGTCAGGACACCAGCAAGAGCATGACGCTGCCTGCTTGCCTGTTCAGCTCCAGCCCAGTCTACATCCCTGACCGCATAGCAGGTCAGCTTACACTTTCTAAGACATTTGTATGAGCTGTTGAATTTCTAGTCTCTGTGATCACACTCAAAACATGTCTCATTAGGAAAGTGACATCTTGTGGTATTCACACAGACATTTCAAGAAGGAATTCATAAATAATTGATTGCAGCATTTTTTACGTGTGCCATCTGCTAGATATCCTGGTTTATAAAGCCTTGCGTGCATATGCCATTGAGCGATTTCCTTTAAAAGTTCCCAAATCATCCTGTATGTTACGGATGGTGAGGACTGGATTCAAAAGCGAACAGGAGACAGACAGTTGGAGGTAAAAAAAACACGATTTATTCAGGGAGGGGAGAGGTAGGATACCAGGAAGCAAGGAAGGAGGCTCCGTATCCGGGTGCGTGATCCCAGGAGAGGGGGGTCTCGTGTCCAGGAAATTCCGAGCAGGGGCTCGTGAGGTGAGTGGGTCGCGTGTCCCGGTGACTCCTTGCACGGGCTCGGGTGTGGGCTGCTGGCTGGTTCGGTGGAAGGCTGGGCAGGATACGGAACGCAGGCTGCGCAAAAGAGCTGGCTTACGTTTCACGTTGACGAGAGACAATCATCCACCACAGGAGCCCAGGAGAGAGCAGGCTTTAACTGGTGCCAGATTGCTTAATCAGCCACAGGTGAGAGCACTCCTCTCAGCCGTCCCGCCCAGCCTGAAAACAAAAAAAGAAAACTAGCCAGCACCCAGGATCAAATATATATAAATCAACGAAGATCACGAATGACTCAACGAAAAGTCATAATCACCACACTGTAAATGTGTGCAGCTGGTTTGTCTTCTTCCCTGCCACATGCAACCATAAATGGTCAACGCTAAGCACCTTACAAATGCATAGAAACGAGCTGCTGATCAGTTGCTGGATTTTTGATTGATTCTAAAATGATTGAATCAGTTTATTCACTAGCCTGGATAACATTCTAGCACATCCAGTTGTTTTTCTGTTCAATGCATGCAACCCTTTATGGGATTGTTGTCCACTGGTCAGACCTATATAAGTCTACACTTATATAGGTCTGAGTTTCATCCGCATAATAATGATAGCATACTTAATTTATTTCCATAATCTGTGCTTGTGGAAGCATGTTGAACAGGAGAGGCCCCAGAATTGAACTTTGGGGAAAACCACATGTCATTTGCGATACCTCTGTCCCGGGACCCTCACATTGGCACAGGAAAAACCCCAAAATAAAAAAACTCCTCAACAGGAGAAAAAGTAAGGCGAACGGCAGAGAAGAATCCCTCTCTGGGACGGACAGAATGCAATGGGTGTTACAGAATGAATAATGTAGAATATGTTCAATACGTTCAATATATATTACGGAAATGATAAAAATATTGGTAATAGACAGAGACTGGCCAGTCTTAGAGCACAGTATAACAAATTGTCTACAAATAAAGCATTATATAGCGTAATGAAACTAAAACAGACATACTACGACCAAGAAGAAAGGGCAGGGAAACTTCCGGCCTGGCGTTTAAAGTCAATGCAGAACGAAAGAACAATACTAGAAATTGAGTCTGAGAAAGGTACGAATTAATAACCCACAAGAAATAAACAGCACTTTCCACACATTTTATTCTAAATTGTACGTGTCAGAAAGTCCAGCCACATCTCACACACTCCACAACTTCCTAAGTAAATTAGGGGATACCGCTTCTTGGTGAGACAGCAAAAAAATTAACTCAACTCCCCAGTTGTTAACTCCTGAGTTGTCAGAGGTCATAGACAGTATCAAAGGAGGAAAAGCCCCATGCCCAACGGCGTCCCTATTGAAATCTACAAAGAATATATCCTTTACAGAATATGTTTGAAGAATCACTTGGAAATGATGAGCTGCCCTCATCTCTGTGAAGTGCACTTATAACATTAATATTAAAACCACATAGTGTGAATCTCCTTAATCAATAATAATGCGAAAATAATAGCAAAAATACTTGCTAGAAGGTTGGAAACATTTGCCATCTATGGACTTAAATGGATTAATTAAAAAGAACAAAAGAAATACCTGATGCGGCAGTGATAGGACTCGATGCGGAAAAGGCCTTTGATAGGGTCGAGCATGAATATCTATTTGAAGCGCTTAGCCACTTTGGAGTAGGCGACTTCTTCCTGCTGGATCAAACTCTATCCATCCATCCATCTTCAGCCGCTTATCCGGGGTCGGGTCGCGGGGGCAACAGCTCCAGCAGGGGACCCCAAACTTCCCTTTCCCGGGCCACATCTACCAGCTCTGACTGGGGGATCCCAAGGCGTTCCCAGGCCAGTGCAGAGATATAATCTCTCCACCTAGTGCTGGGTCTTCCCCGGGGCCTCTTCCCAGCTGGCCGTGCCTGAAACACCTCCCTAGGGAGGCGCCCAGGGGGCATCCTCACCAGATGCCCAAACCACCTCAACTGGCTCCTTTCGACGCAAAGGAGCAGCAGCTCTACTCCGAGCTCCTTGCGAATGGCTGAGCTTCTCACCCTATCTCTAAGGGAGACGCCAGCCGTGACCTAGTTCTTTCAGTCATGACCCATCCTTCATGACCATTAGGTGAGGGTAGGAACGAAGATTGACCGGTAGATCGAGAGCTTTACCTTCCGGCTCAGCTCTCTTTTCGTCACAACGGTGCGGTAAAGCGAGTGCAATACCGCCCCCGCTGCTCCGATTCTCCGGCCAAACTCACACTCCATCTTCCCCTCGCTCGTGAACAAGACCCCGAGGTACTTGAACTCCTTCACTTGGGGTAAGGACACATTCCCTACCTGGAGTAGGCAATCCATCGGTTTCCTGCTGAGAACCATGGCCTCAGATTTAAAGGTGCTAATCCTCATCCCGACCGCTTCACACTGCGAAACACTCCAGTGAGAGTTGGAGGTCACAGACAGAAGATGCCATCAGGAGCACATCATCTGCAAAAAGCAGCGATGAGATCCACAGCCCCCCGAACTGTAGACCCTCCTCCCCCCTCCTACGCCTCGATATCCTGTCCATGAAAACCACAAACAAGATTGATGACAAGGCGCAGCCCTGGCCAACCCCCACCGGAAACTCCTTCGACTTACTGCCGAGCACCCGAACACAGCTCTCGCTTTGGGCGTACAAGGATTGGATGGCCCCAAGCAAGGACCCCCTCACCCCGTACTCCCGCAGCACCTCCCACAGTTTCTCTCGGGGGACCCGGTCATACGCCTTCTCCAAGTCCACAAAACACATATAGACTGGATGAGCATACTCCTGAGCTGGTCCGTTGACCAGGACGAAAACCGCATTGTTCCTCTTCAATCCTTGGTTCAACTATCGGCCGAACCCTCATTTCCAGCACCTTGGAGTAGACTTTATCCGGGAGGCTGAGTAGTGTGTTACCCCTGTAATTGGCACACACTCTCTGGTCCCCCTTTTTGAAGAGGGGTACCACCACCCCAGTCTGCCACTCTTTTGGCACTGTCCCAGACTTCCATGCAATGTTGAAGAGGCGTGTCCTCCAAGACAACCCCCCAACACCCATTGCTTTTAGCATCTCTGGACAGATCTCATCAATCCCCGGGTCTTTGCCACTGCGGAGTTGTTTGAATACCTCAGTGACCTCCACCAGGCAAATTGACGGATGGATCAAACTCCTATATCATAACTCTTCGGTGACTCTGACAGACTTTAAACAATCAATAGCTTCTTTATTAAATCAAATGGGAACAATTTTTTTTCAATTTCTCAGGTTATAAAGTTAATTCATCCAAGTCTGCAATCCTATTTTTGAAAAAATCTGGGAGATTAACTCCACCCTAAATACACCATTTAGGAATATTGTGGACAGCTTTAAATATCTTGGTGTTGAAATAACCCCTACAATAGAATCTTATTCTATATGCACATTTTTTTCCGCAAAAACAAGGTACTTGGGACTCGAGCAAGGTTGTGAAATATGGCAGACAAGGAGGTTTTTGCGAAAATTGTAGTCTATGATGGACGTCAAGTTGTGGATAAAAAATTTGCTCCCTATCGCCCCCTTTTGATTAGCCACTATATTGGGTTAGCTTTTGATGCATCCTTTGACACGAGCAACAACAGTACAGAACAGGCATCATGATCAAATTAAATGTTGCAATAAATGCTGAAAAGTCTGGGCTACAAAGCCAAAAAAATCTGTCTGAACGTGGTCCAAATAAAACTCCAACAATTATTATACAGTTATAAAATATCGTATGCCAATTTCAGCCAAAATTGAACACTCTGTACATCTGTACACTTATCGATCGAAGCTAGAAGCTAACAACGGAACCGGCACACAAAACCGCACCGCCATTTGACCCTGAAAAGGACAATATATTTAACATTTCACTCAGACAAACCAATCCGGAGCTAGGGGAAAACCGACACCAAGCACTGTTGAATCACATTGTCACTTTTAGATCATAAATTACCTTACCGTTGCCGGTTTTAACGAATGAACGCATAATTCCCATTTTTGGAATCCTAACCACTAAGTCGATGTCTGTGTCTCTTCCAAAGCGTTCCCTTTTTCAGGGTCTGCTTTCATGGAAGGAGGGGGCACTTTTGACCTTCAACTTAAGAATGGAGTTTCACTTTTCGCTCTACATATATTGGTTCTGACAATTCAAACAATAGGCGAAACTTAGAAATCGGCCGAGGATTGGCTGAGAAAAAACAGCATCTTATTTCTCTCCTGTAAAGCTCCTGTGAGGCCTCTCTGGATTTGTTATACTTTACTCAAAGTAAAACCTTTAAGAAGATACTGACACACTAGGCTAACATATAGGAGAGTTTCAGGCGTCTTCCGTCATATTTTGAAGGGTAAAGTTTGTTCTGTGTGCCATACACACACATTTTATTTATATATATATAGATATACTCATAATTTCAAATATTTGTATTTTCTCCACATTACACAAACAACAAAGAAACAAGACAAAACAAAAACAATGCATATCAGAAAGTACATATGAGCAAGTATAAATATCTGTGGCATGATTTGTTGTGCGTTACAGTTTCTCATGAAACCATATGCTGATATGTACGGTCACAGATACTTATTTTTTCCTGAAACGAATGCACCCTAAACGGTAAAGGCTACAGGGTTACAACAAACTCCCTCCAGGAACTTCATAAATGAGCTCCAAATATTTGCTAAGATGTTATGTTTCCCTTTAGCTATATATGTAAGTGTCTTTAGGGCGAGGCCCTGTAGAAGTCCTTTTATCCAAAGTTTTTTGCTTTGTGAACGATTTCCAAGCCACTGCAATTTTATGTTTAGCTTGATATCACCATCTTTTTTTGTGCTATTGTTCAGAGTACAATTCGCTGGGAAATATTGAATATGGGTACATTCCCAGAGGCAGTGAGCCAAGCTCCCTTCATGTATACCACATTTAACACAAGCATCTGGTGTATTGGGGTACATGCGGTGTAGAAACTCTGGAGTAAAGTACATCCCGCAAGGTACCTACATTAAAAAAGACTGGCTGGATCATCAGAAAAGCTGGATTGTTTACATGTTCTTTTGTCAACTCTTGTTTACATGTTCTTTTGTCAACTCTTCGCAGATGGGCCAGTGTTTCAAAGTAACACCTTGGAACGAAGGCTCCCCCTCCAGTCCCATCCACATCAACAGGCCTCTGCTACAGCCACACCGACCCAACAGGAAGTGGAAAAAGAAATGGTGGAGATCCTCATCTGACCGTGACTTCTAGAAAAAAATATCTGTCATCACAAACCGAGCACCAAACATCTAATCTAAATCAGCTTGGCTTAGCATGAACACATTCGCTGTTTCACTAATTCATATGAAGAAACATTTTAATACTTTGATGTGCATTCAATCCAACACATCTGACTGGAGATTTTACACATTTCATTAATTCCTTCACTAAATCAACCTAGCAGTCGGAAGCAAAAAGCTGTGCCACGTCTCATCTTTAGCAGTCCCCACAGTTGTATAATATGACGTAGCCAATGGAACCTTTATATGTAGCAACTTTATGATGCTTTTGGCACCTTTTTTTACAATGATGACGTTTAAGCTTGATTATTGCAGATAAACACATTTTTTTTATCAAGTTGACCAACTTCTAATTAATGTGGTGAAAAAATAAATAGGCGAACTTGACACTCCATGTCTTCCATTTCAAATTCATTATGTAAAGCATACACACAAACAAATCCCCAAATACATGTTTTGCTTCTACATTTAAAGTGAAGGAACTTCTTGACCTGGAAACAGTTTAGGTTTAGGACACAACTACATATAACCTTGACACATCATAGAGACATGTAAACACTCCAATAGTGTTTCTAGACGCAGGTTGGACCAAAGCTATCTATAACCGTATTGTTGCATATATTGCACTACTTCATGGATTATTGTTTTTTCTATATTACTTTAAGATGTCTGATACAGTATTTAAGTGCAATTGTTTTAATTGTTTAGACATGGCACTAGTGTAATGAAAAATTATATCTGTAAAACGTTCTTAACTATTTACGTACTGTAATGGCCTGTTTGGAACTTTGTGCTATGGAGGGATCTGAGGGCTGAGCCTTTGATCTGTTACGTTTCAGGAGTGATTGAATTTCTGAGTAGCCTTTCTGACAGAAGACCTGTTTTACTTAATGATTTGACCCAGTAGCGCTGTATTCTACTGGCACAAGCATCATATATGAGTACCTGTGTTCTTCCAACTAGTTTTTGCAGCTCCTGTGACTTGTTGATTTCAGGCTGAAAAGGTCCCAGAATTCAAATGTAAAACCTGTATCATGCATTACAAAGCAAATTCAACATTTCCTGGGTATGTTTTGGGTAATCTGACTTTACGGACTAACAACAAAGATCTCGCTGAAATCAACACAGTCGCAAAAGGCAGGAAAAACTGCTTGCTATAAATTGCCTTTTGTGTGGTTGCCATGGTTTCTTGTGCATTAATACAAAAGGAAACACAATTATTTCTGAATATAGGAACGGGAAACATTGATATCTTAAATGCTGACATGGTGTTGGAGATCTATCTTGCCGTTAACAATGTCCATGCACGTATGATTTTACCTCCTACCACACGGATTTTTCAGTTCAGAAAACTTTCTCCTCTTTCCCTAGCCAAACAAATTACGTGAGGCAACTGGCTACATCACTGGGTCAGATGCAATGGTTAAGGTAGCTTGCCCTGAAATTTAAGTGGAAGCGGACAGAGCGTGCTCCAGTCTGGTTTTGGCTGCTGCTAGCTCACTTTGGGGATGCACGTATACATGGCCGAGCATAGGTCTGGTCCTTTGCTCCGCTTCCAATGGCGCCACCTGTGGTCCACCCTGTCCCCTGGCTTGGAGCTACGAAGGACCTCTTCTACAGATGGCAAGGCATTTTTCACCTGTGAATAAAGTGCTATCTTAAAAGTTCTGAGGCAATCTTTGTTTCTTATTTACGCAACCATATATAACACCACCAGGGGTAGGGCTTGTAACCATGACAATCCAATTTCATTGAAGCCTTTTGGCAATTTTGCCTTGATTGTTCATTCTCCCGCTCCACTGCACCTGCACTCTGCGGGTGATAGGAACAGCGGTGTCAAATGTTAAAATCAAGGCATACTGACACTTCATTTAAAACTGGTATTTTCCAGCCGGAAATATTCTCTGTAAACAATGCTACTGCCTGTGCATCTTATTTCTCTGATGGTAACACTTCAACCCATTTACAGTACCGGTCTGCTGTCACATGGCAGTATTTCCTACTTTCACTGGCTGTTAGCTATGAAGGCAAATCAATGTCAAAATCAGAGAGTGCATATGAGGTCCATGCGCACGGCAAATCAAACAGTAGCTAAAGCCCCTCTCACGTGTGCCAAAGTAGCTCGCTCATATCCCCTTTGCTCGCGAAACTTGAACCTGCTCGCTCTAGATTTTCTTTTTGACTTTGCTATAGATAAGAGCTACAATTTGTTAGTGCAGGTAGAGTCTGAAGAGGTGTGTCTTTAGTATATATATATTTATTTATTCATAATCTTTCAGCTGTTAGACTAGCAAATGTGCTGTTTCCTCGCTTCTATGTCCTGCTGGAATCTCATGCAACTGTCCGTCTCCCCGGCACCATCCACGTTCTCAAATTCAGCAACCCTTCTGCATCTCCAGCCACCACCATCAGTGTCTGGACTCCTTCTGGGGATTTATATATGGCTGCTGCTAAGGGCAAACATAGCGCAAACTCAAATCCCCTCGTTGAGTTCAAGCGCCAAATAAATTCTGCAACTCATGAACGCATCATCCAGCATAATAAATATTAAATACAATTATTCACTTGTCTCTCCTGATTTAAATGTTCCTAGTCATGATATCAATGTGGATGACCATCAGTCCATCAAACAACATGTTTACCGGCGCAATCCAACAAAAAGCGCTCTGATGAATTCGGAAGTGCAGTACCTGTTGGATCACAGGTTAGCTGAACCGAGTACCAGGGCCTGGAACTCCCCTTCTATCCTGGTTCTGAAGCCCAATGGAACATTTCGTTTTCCTACCGATTAGTCGGTGACGAGCAGGCCCAAATTTAGGCTTGAACCTGGATTCTTACTCTATCAACTTGAAACTTGACATGTGTACTGTCCACACACAGTGCTATCATCAAGAGCATCCTCACTACATTACATTACATGTAATTTAGCTGACGCTTTTATCCAAAGCGACTTACAATAGCATTTGAACCATAAGTATACAAACTCAAAAAGAAACAAGCATTTCATTAAATAAACCGATTTACAACTTGCTATAGATAAGAGCTACAATTTGTTAGTGCAGGTAGAGTCTGAAGAGGTGTGTCTTTAGTTTGCGGTGGAAGATGTGAAGGCTCTCTGTGGTCCTGATGTCATCGGAGAGCTCATTCCACCATTTCCGAGCCAGGACGGCAAAGAGTCGGAATCTTTTTGCTCGAGTGTTTTGCTCTCAGTGAGGGAGGAACAAGCAGTTTGGCAGAGTGTGCGGGTTGAGATGTAGGGTTTGACCATGTCCTGGATGTAGACTGGACCCAATCCATTCACAGCATGGTATGTGAGTACCAATGTTTTGAACTGGATGCGGTCAGCCACCTGTAGCCAGTGAAGAGAGCGGAGGAGTGGAGTAGTGTGGGAGAATTTCGGAAGATTAAAGACCAGTCGAGCTGCTGCATTCTGGATGAGGTCGCATGCCGGTGGCAGGAAGACCTGCCAGGAGATTTACAGTAGTCAATGCGGGAGGTTGTTACGGTGGAGATAGGAGGAGAGTTTTGGACAGAAAGCGAAGAAGAGAGACCGGTCTGTAGTTGTTTTCTTCAGTTGGGTTTCTTCAGGAGTGGGTTAACTCTTGCCTCCTTCAGAGAGTTGTGAAAACAGCCAGATAACAGGGAATGAGACAGGTGAGGAAAGGAAGAAGGTCAGAAGCGATTGTAGGATATGGAATGGAATGGGGTCAAGGGGGTCAGACGGGCAGAGGTTACTAAGGTGAGTCCTTGGTTAGGAGACGGGGGTGAAAGAGGGAAGGGAGGGCGATAGAGGAGAAGTTGGTGGGACACAAGTAATAGGAGGTGGGTTTGAGAAAAAAGATCGTATGTCAGCTATTTTTTTGGTAAAATAGTTGACAAAGTTTCCCGGAAGAAGGGTGGAGGAGGACTCGGGGGTTCAAGGAGGTTGGAGAACATAGAAAAGAGTTTTTGGGGGTTAGCGGATTCAATTCTAGATAGGTAAAAAGAGATTTTGGCAGCATTGATCGAAGCAGAAAAAGAGGAGAGAAGAGATTGAATTGCAAGCAAGATTTTCATATATATACGCCATTTCCTTTCCGATGCTCGCATAGTGGCTCTCACGGCACGCATCGGTTCAAACAGCCACGTGGTATTTCAGTTTTTCTTGTTTCATACATTTGCAAAGATTTCTACATGTCTGTTTATTTCTGTCAAGATGGGGTGCTGAGTGCACATTAATGAAAATAAAATTAACTTTTTTGATTTTAGCAAATGGCTGCAATGAATGAAGAATGAAGAGTGAAAAATTTAAAGTGGTCTGAATACTTTCCGTACCCACTGCATATAATATGTCATAGTTAATAAATAAGGTAAAATACAAATCCCACAAAAATACATTTTGAGTACATTATTGTGTTTTGCCTACACATACTTAATGACAAATTACTCTTATTCAACTACCTGAACGAGAGCACCAAATTATTTACAAGAAAACAAAGTTCCCCATTGATCTTGCCCCTTAATTTAGCTGTTGAAGTAAACCACTAAACACTGGAACCTTGAGAACCATAGTGTGATATAAATGCGCATTTAGTGTTGTGCATTATCTACCCAGACTGACCTGGCAGATCTGGATTCAACTCTCCCTCTTTGTTCATCTAGAACTAATTTCATCATACTTATCCGGAACAAAGTCAAGTCTACATTGCAGACATGAGGACATGATGGTATTGCATTTGTGAAAAACTAAAATGTTTGATGTTGAACTTCAAGAACATATTATAGTACAATGTAAAAATCTCTAAATATTTGAAGTGGAAAAACTGTGGTTGTGAAAACAACTAACGTCATGCAGCTAAAGTTGTTAAGACCAGCAGCATTTCAGTAATAGATGGATGCTACTTAATCACTGTAACTTGTATATTGACAATAATGTGAGTTTCCTGTATGAATTTAAGTCCACAATGTTAGATACTTTGCCAGCAGACTGTAGTTAACCATGGATTATTTTAATCATTACCATACAAGCAGTACTGGAATCAGCTCGTTACATACAAATATTTGTACAAAGGTAAACATCTCAACCTTTCCAAAGGGTTTCTCTTTCATTAGGACAGTAAGAAATGCAGAGGTTACACATTAAAAAAATTACACACATTTCAGGTGAACTGCAGTGCTTTAAGTCCATACTGGTTGTACTGATTCAGCTCTTCAGGGTGGGTGGGGCAGCTTCAGGTGGAGTTGGGGAGGCAGGTGGGGTTAGCTGGGAGAGGTGCCGTTGACTCTGAGACGGTTCAATAGAAGACTTCCTCGCAACCAAGCTTCAGCAGTGAAAATGGAAACAGTCAGGTACTACATTGGATATAGGTTTCAATAAAACTTAACTTTTTATGAATTTTAATTCCATTCTAATTCAATACAAATTTGCATTGTCTAGACTTCCCCTGTAGTGGAAAGTTAGATAATGGAATAATTTGTCAAAATTCTTGAAAGGCAGTATCAAATGTAATGCCACCGTCATATTCTTTCGCTGCAACAAAAATATATTGCCAACATCAACTAAGAGTTGTCAAAAACAATGGAGGACCAATTACAACACCCCAGTTCTTACCCGTCTTCCATTTTTGTTTCCCCCTGCTGCTCTCCATCCGAAGACCTGTATGTCTGATCAGCATGGCTGTCCTCCTGCTCTGCATTATTGCTAATGATATAACGCTCCCAGCTCTCCACCTCAGTGTGGTCTGTCGGCTCCACAACTATAGAGGGAAGACGCTCCCTCCTATAAAGAAAGTCTTCAGGGTAGGAGCTGGAATCTGACTCTTCATTCAGGTTGGCTTCAGGAAAAATCTGGTCAAGGGAGGGAGTTTTTTAATGATTAATGTTGGTATTAAAACTATTGATTATTTAAATAATGTCTACTATACATATTTAAAAACCCAATTTAAAAAAAAAGGTCATAAAAAACAATCCACAAGTTGAAATTTGTGCTCATGTCACAACCTGCATCCTGCACATAAAACGTATAGATTTTTTTTTTAGGTGAAGCTATTTTGACAAGGAAAAAGAAGGGGGTCACTAGAATGAAGTTACATACTTGAATAAATATGTATTTTGTACCTGGTAGGCTTTGCTTCCTCTTCTCTTAACTGGACTTTCCTCCATCTGAGATTCCACTTGATTGAGATTGCCGCTTACACTGCAGAAACACACAGCAACACATTTGGAATTTGCGTGAATTGTTTTGGTTTCTTTATGTGATATGTATATTATCCAACTTTATCAATATTGTCTGGGTCACTCAATTTCCATAATACAGAATCCAGATACGTCCAGAACACTGAAAATATTAGAACATTTCAGTAATTCATCACAGTAATGATCTGAGCTTTCCAACTCATCCCAAGTAAAGGCATAATCCTCACCGTTAAAACAAAACTTTGTACAGCTGTGAAGTCTGTTACAACCTTGGATCAAACAGGCATGTGTCGGGGATTTCCAACTCAACTTGCCTCCACAAATATCAGTGGATGAAAGACTGTTCACATACGTGTAAGCAGGTTTGACAAAATGTGTAGGGATGAGGGGGCAGGGAAATAATCTCCCGCTGTACTAGTCTGCAGGTAAGCCTTTAATGACATAACTGCCCGAAACAACAAGAGACTACTGAACTCCAAATATAGGGGAGGGG